CTTTTATAAGCGCTCTTATGTAGCAAACCCAGAAATGGATAACTCGCTAAAATGGGTTCTTTTCAACATAGTAAACGGTCAGAAGCGATGTACTGTGGGAATAAGATGAAGTATTTTTATTGAGAGTTTGAATTAATTTTTTTATCCCTAGAAGCGGTCGTAAATATTCCCATACAAACTCTCATAATTTTGCCATGACTCTTATTTCGCAAGTTGGAGCTTGGGCCACCTGTGGTAAAACCTAATATAAGTCACGTTTGAAATTAAAGAGCAGAGAATCTGAAATAGTCTTTCGTAGATCGCGATACTGCCTCAGAAATTCCAGATTTGTTTATATAATTCAATTAAGTCCTAGTCATTAGCTCAATATCTTGGTATATAATATTGTAAATATTCCATTTCAAGGAATACCCACAGAGATCGGGATATTAGTCTGGCGAGAATTTAGTAACGTAAATAATTTTACACGAGCCGAAATCTGTCAATTTGATTCAAAAGAATACGCGATTTAAATGTCGTATTGAAGAAAGGGTTTAAGAGTCTTTAAAGTATTTAGGGTAACTGTTAATCTCTTCTGAAGTTTCGCACGTGAGCAGTAAACATTTGAGTGACAGAAACGATCAGTTACTCGTTACAAAACTTTTTGTTAATGTTGAACAACTTTAAATTGTCTTCCCTTCTCCGTTATCAGAAGGTGATCAGGAATTTAAAATCTTTTTCCGCTATGAGTAAAGTAGAATGTGAAATTGAAAAAAAAAAAAACTTTAGAGAATTAGTTTACGTGCGATACCCATATGAAAATTACTCTGTTATTACATGACCACTTCTAAAACGTTTTGCCGCAGTGGTTTTGAGCCTGATATCAAAGGTTAACCAAAAGAAAATAACAGTGATTTACCTCACTACGTCGCTCAGTTTTCATAACTTCCACTTGAAGTAAGAGTCTCTTGTAAGCTGCTTCAAGCGCAGTGAAGGTATCCTTCGCTTCGTCGTAATGTTGCAAAGCCACATCGTCGTTGTCGAAGAATCCGTGCGAAATTTTCGAAACTCGAGTGTAGGATAATACATCATCACCGAACTTGGTTTTAGTCGTGGTTTCGGTACTGTCGCTCTTGTAAGTTTCTGTCCGCTCTGTTGCGCCAGACGGGCTCGAGAAAGTATTTTTCTTCGTGCTCATGTTCAGACGACGTCGCTCAGTAGTCGGGCTCAGTTGGTGGTAGTGTTACTAGTTGCTAGACATGGAGTTATACAACAGATCAAGCCTGCAATGGATAAAAGTGGTATTAAACTTCTCTCTCTTGCCTAATTTATGTCAGTAACAATATTACCAAGCACGTAAATTTTATGCAAATGCATATTGTTGGTTCTCTCGGCAAAAGCACAGTCGAACAGTTAGCAATATGCAAATAGCGACGCCAGTGTTCGCTTCACTGATTTTGATGGGTGTGTGAGTTTCTGCTAGAAGACCACAAACATGTGCAACAACTGGAAATATCTGCCGCGGTATTGGAAACTTTTTTACTTCTGAACTACGTATCAACACAATCAAACATTTCTTGTTCTCTACATCTTTGACTTAAGTCAAAGAGGGCGAGTCAGACGGTTGAATGTCATGCAGTTGAAGACACATACTTTCCAGCCAATATTTATCAGCCCGAACAGGAATCAAATATCACAAAAACAAACTTTAAAATCTATTATCTGAAGAATATAGTACATAGCTGAGCTGCTTGCTCGAAGATAGAGCTGTCAAGCGGTCACAGTGACTAGAAAAAGCTTGATCAAAAATAATAATCAGTCACACTGGATCAATGTGACCACAAAGTTCACTGTTCATAGTGAACTTGATCACCGATTAGCTTAGTAACTAAATTTGGTAAACTTCACTTTTATACCAAGATGCGTTTAGAGATCACGGCTGAATCCAGAAAGTGGAAAATAGTAACAAAATGTAAAAGAATGCAAAAATTGTTGGCGTCCAAACGCACTCAAGTAGGAAAACACAGCGCTCCTTCTAGTACATTACAGAAATAAACAGACCAAGAAATTTGAAACACGTTTAGGAGTGTTTTTTTTTTCATTGATACGGCGCCAGTTTAAAGTATGTGGTTGATAATTAAGCTCCGTATTTGCAAAGAGGCGTTCGTCAAATTTTCTTTCGCGTCCTTCATAACAGTCGTAAAAGCGTCATTAACGTTAAAATCGCCTCAAGGTAAACGCCTACGTTTCTTTTTTTTCTTTTGCCTTCACGCTCAACGGAACTAAAATAAAGGACATCAATCTTGAGCAACACGAAAGCACGAGTTGTTTGCGCTTCTGGGAACTAAGAATAGAATCGGCAGAGATGAAAAGTAAAAAAAAAAATACAAATTTCCAGTACTTGTTGATCAAAATCAACGTAGAAGAATGGGATTTTCGTGACTAAAATTAAAATGGTCCAGCAGTGAACACTGTCTAACACTTTGAAAAAGGTATTGTACGTTGTACCATTTTACGTGAGGAATTAATGCACGGAAACATGGTATTGATTTTTTGATGTTTATATTGACAATTACGCAATTGAAGGGGCGTGAGGAATTGTTAGTCGTCGACCTTAAAATATCAAAACAACTTGAAACTCAGGTGTTAAAAATTTGGTTGGTTTTATGAACTTAGCGAGCAACACAATAAAAGACAAGGAGTCACGTTCGTTTGGAAAAGCTTTTCTTTTGTCATCGCAAGATACTCGCATGTTTAGCTGTATTTAGAATGGAACGATACTATGAAATTTGTGAAAAATGCTTGAAGGGAAAAGAACTTTGGGATCTAGAAACACGAAAAGTCCAGAAGATTCGATCAGTGGCTCTACATTGATTATTCGTTGCCTTTGTGAATGCTTCGAAGGCATTGTAAAAATAAAATAGGATTTGTTGATTAATTACCCTATGAATTTAGTTAGCTAATATTAACATAAAGGAGGTCTTAAACAACTTAAAAATTCAAGAATCGGAATGATATCCTAACACTGCAAAATTGATCATTGTTGAAAACCGCACTCAATTTTTCCCAGACGCTGAAAAATACGAGGTCGACAGAAATATTTTTAAATCATTAAGTTTACCCCACCTAATGAGGCCAACATTTGTGCACTTGAAATCTACTAAGAAAAGTTTGTGGTTTTGGATTGGCTTCCGTGACGCTGATAGGGGGTAGAGAGAAAACATTTATATCTGCCTTTACTTCTCCTTGGAAAATATACCCCTTTTAATAAGGGAAAATGGAAAAATTTTACAGCCGATATCTCAGAGACCTCATTACTACTGTTCGAAGAGCTATCACGGTTCGAAAAATCAATACAAATTCAGATAGCTCGTGATGTCATCTCATCCCATCACATCACTAGAAATTTATAAAGGGTTAGAGACCTCTAGCCGAATTCTATCCACAGGGAGTCGAAATCTGTTGGACATCGGTATTTTATTTTTTATTTTTCAAGTTTCTCACGCGTTCTAGGCGACGTAAACGTGTTAATCCTCGCATTATGTTGTTCATTAGTTGGTGGTAATAACACAATATCATGACAAAAGCCTCTTTAGCAGCCGTAAGCTGGTAACAACAAGAACCGATATTAAACAAAACTCTTTAAAGGTGCGACCAAGATCCTGATATGTCGTGTAATTAAAATGCTACCCTTCTTTGCTATAAACTTTCACTTAAAAATTAATTTAAAACGCAATGCACGACAGTGTAGGACAGTTCCAAACTATATATGTAAATCTCGATATTTGTCACGAACCGTTGGTATCAAAAACCGAAAATCCCAAGTTCATTACCAGTCATCGCCCGACAAACACTCCTGGAAAATTTGATAAAGTTTAGAATTTGCAAGATTTTTTTATTGTTGATAAAAAAAAGAATTTGACGTCCTCACAGCGTTTATCCCAAAATGTCATCATATCTTCAACTGTTTACATAGGCAGTAGGATCACGAAACAGATGTAGTTGACCCGAAAACAAAATTTTTTCCATTGTACTGTGTACTTACGTTAACAAGTAGCGATATTCGTCTCCTGGTTAAAAAAAATAAATTATCACACTCCTGTCTCCTGATACCGCGACCTTAGCAATGATCTTATCCACCGGAAATGCGTGGGAAATGTAATTTCCATTTAAATCACGCGTCAAATTAATTAAAATAAATCATCTATTACTTTATTAGCGGTTTTAACGTTTAAACCGAAGACACGTCTTCAGTAATACTAGCCAAAATTAAACTCATCGATAAAGGAAAGGTAGGTTAAATTAACTTTTGTCGAGCGTGTGAACCCAAAGAAAGTTAGACCTAAAAAATTCCCACGGCCATGGAAGTCTGTAAGACAATTTGCATGGTAATTCACGGCTGTAAACAATACAGTTACTGGAGTGTGCAATAAACGTGTCTTCGAGACAACACTGAGAGATGAAATTCTTACGAAGAGCATCATTTTCCCACACAATTTTAAGGCGGAAGTACTTCAGAAATATTCTAACGCCATAGTGGCAAACAAAGAACTTCACATTAAGGACGCTAAGTAATACTTGATGATGGTTTTGTCTAATATCAGGAAAGCAGTGCTCATTGTTAGCATTTCACGGTTGAAAAGTTACGGGCGGCTGATCCTAGCACTTCCTATAAACATGCGGTACACCAGATCGTGCAGAGGCGTCTAAGAGTGATGCCTAAGTCTGGCTGCACGAACGCGTTTAATGAACGAATCTGGACATAAATAAACAGCAGCCAAAATAAGCTCAACGTACCTTCAGAAGACTTTGCGCTCGAGGAGGCCAGAAGTTTCGTTTCCCTATATTCGAATGCGCTCTGCTTATGAATACAGGCTTCAGTAATTTCTTGAGAAATGTCATGACCCCATTGTGCGTATAAACAATCCCAATACAATTGGGCGAACCAGTTATATTCCATTAACTCCGCGTCCTGCCCAAATATAATACGAAACTTCTAGGTCAATGACACAATGACTGCCTTTTATTGAACGTCAAAGCCCCAGTACTGGGCGTGTTGACGAGAGGCTTATAAAGAATGCAAATGATTTGCTGACCACAAAACAACGCCAGATCCTACCGATTAAAGTACAGTTGCTGAGACAGGGAACGCTCAGTAGCGACTCAAGGGTGTTGAACGTAAGTTTGCATACTCCCTAAGGGCTGGTTTACCTCAGGAAAAAGAGCGTTACCCAAAAGAATTGCTGATAAAAGATTATCTTTGAAATTGTAACAGGATTTCAAGCGTCCTTCTGTGCTATAATTATGTCCGAGATGCAGCAGACGCGTTTGGACTTTTCGTCCGCTGGTAGTTCACCTTCTGTTCGCCGTACGGTTACCTACAAGGCATCCGACCTGGCTATGTCCTCCAAAGCAGGTGACGTTACGATCCAACACATCTCTGAGGCAAAGGGTTATCTCAATGAATTTGAGCAAATGTACCGCAAACACCGCGTTGAAATTGACAGCCTCAAGCGGGATCATGCGAGCGAGGTGAGTTTGCTCTTACATATTTATGTACGGACTAGATCCAGTTGGGTTTATTTGGAGAATATTAAATTGCTTCCAAACTCTTGTAGTGGGCGATTGTCGTTACGTGCAGATAATTCTCGGCGTAAATTTTACTTTCGAAATGTCTGGTTGGTAGGGCGCACGGTTAACAGATTTAATCTTCCTGAAAGTAAGCCTGTGGGTAGTTGAATACACAGATGCAGATATTGGCTCCAACTACAATATGAATGCAAATTGACTTCCCTTGTCACACCCATCTTACGGCTTAAATCTGGCTGCACAAACGGTCAAGCGTTTGCTCCTCAAATCTAACTACGGTAATCAACTTCCTTTAGAAATATTACCCTCACAGTTGTCGATTTTGGTATTTGATATTATTGTTCGCTTTGCCCATAAGGTCGTTAAATCAATGCCTTCGTTTGACGGAAGCGTCTTTGTGTACGTGTTGCGGTTGAAACTTGTAAAATAAATCACAGCGCCTCTTTAAGTTATTAAAACCACCTTTTAATTCTTGGAGGTGTTAATTTTTCTGCAATTTCGTTACCATCTTGGTTACTCGGCAACAAAGTTGACGGTTCGACTTAATTTCAAATTGTAAGTCTAGTACATGATTTCAGGTATAAGGTATCGTTTAGGAATTTCGAAAGCGGGCATCTTAGCTGGTTGCCTTCCGGAGAGAAATCGTTACAAATATTCCACAAAGCGTATTGGAAATCTGTACTTTCTTTTTGTACATCTGGGATATTTTGCATGATCAGGCAATATGGCTCTCCACTTAATACGCTCTTATCCATGATAGTGCCACGTCACTTAAGAGCTCCTGAGAAACCTTTAAAGACTCATTGTAATAATTGATCTCCAAGAAAATTTTCGAAACAAAAAAGTTAATGCGCTTGTCTGGGAAAGATTATGTCTTCACCCAAATGTTTTTGCATAAGTCACCTTTACTCTTCGTTTCTGGCAATTGTCCATCGACTGACTAGAGGTTGTGATGAGTTTCTATTGACACTGAAGGATTATGCTGTTTTTAGTACGCTTTTAATTTATATTTCTTGCAAAACCTGTCTCTGTACTATTTTTGTACTGGAAGAACGCTCAGGGCGTCGCCGCGTCGTGCAATATGTGTATTAAAACAAATCAAAGGGGCGAAAGAGCAGTTATGATCGCTATAAAAAAACGAAATACTGACGCGGAATGATCTAAAGATTTATTGTAAATGGTTTAGGAGTGTTTTAGAATAAAGACTCGACTTTTAGGGGAGAGCGCGCCGTTAGGTGCGAATCTTCTTCGTTTCCTAGACTTGCCAGAAGGTCAGACGTTGTTCACGGGATGGAAATATGATATAAGCTCATTCAATCACAGAGGGTTGCCGAATAAACTTTCGAAAATCAATAGCGGCACATTTTTGACAATCCATGGACACAAACAGAAGCAAAGTACAGGCAACGTAAAGTGCCGTAAAACTGTCAAACTTTGAACTTTTGAACGGATCGAACAGAACCAGAATGATGGAGTTACCACAGATGTTGTTGATGCTAAATATTAACATAACTGTCCATCAGTTCCGCTCCATTTAATAAATTACGTAATAAATTACTTAAACTAACAGAAACCAAATCTCACCGGGAGTTTTGTTACGATAAAATTTCCATAATATCAAAGCGTTAGGGGTATTCGGAACTTGATTGTTTCTTTTTCTCTTAAGCAAAATTTAACTGCTCTTTCTTGTCCCCCTGCAAAATTAACTCTTGTCACGCAAGCATGATTGTCTATTTATATCACCAAAGCGTAACATTCTTTCGCAACGGTCTTCAATACCATATCACCTTATTCTTGGACGTGTAAATACAAACTTAAACTTGAAGACGACTATGTATTCTCGTTTTAACGAGAGCCCGGTAAGATAGAAACCGTAAAGAGGCCATCACAAATCGATATATGGCAAAAATTCTTCAGACTGGAGGAGACTGTCGATAATTTGCATCTTAAAGTGACGATGCATCATTATGTCACGTAGCCACCGTTTTCGTCTACACATCTTTTTTTTTGTAATTTTTAGGAAATATTAACACCTCAACGCAATACATTAAACAAGTATTAACTCTTTTGCCACTTTATCACTTTTCCTTACTTGTCACGTAATTTTACTTTTTTTTTTATAAAAAAAAGCGAAAGGTCACGGGCGGCTTTTTTTTACGATTTGCCAGTTGTCATCAATTTCTGAATCCATCTGGACTTTCAGCTAACTTCGCCCCGATTGACATAGGAACTGACCTGTTCAAAGCCCTTTTTTTGAAATGTCGATTGACAATTAAAAGCTAAAAACTTCAAGATACTATACTTCGAAGGAAATTAATAAGTGCGTGAAAATGGACTCCATTACTGAGTTATCAATTAACCTTTTACACCCTAACATCAGTATGCATATTCTCCATACTGTTCTCTATACATTTCCTAATGTGCTGGCAAGGAGAATTTGTTTAACAATCTAGAGGTTCTTCACTTGATTATCATTTCCTTCATTCTTATGACCTTAATGTTTGATTCAGGGCTGATATTGTAGGGAGAAACTAGGTGCTTGTCACTCTCGAGGATTAAAAGATTAAATGTTTCCTTAGCCAGATGTTTTTTTAGCCGAAAAATTTCAAAAGTACAGCTCTGTGTATGGTTGGATGAAGTAACCTGCACTTACATGAAGAAGGCAGTGCGCTTTTTGTATACACAGACCTACAATGTACCCTGAAGTCGCACTTCGAATGATTTTTCTTCGACCGAGAGTCGTCTCCTTGCCAGCCGTCGTTTCGGTCTTGTCACGTGACACCTTCAATCTACCACCAACAACGGCTGCGAAGGAGACGAGACGGAAAAAGACGAAATAAGGAGCGGAAACTCTATTTTTTATGTTAAGATTATTTTTGCTTTTAAAGAATGTTCAAATCTTGTCGCCATTTAATCGAACTTTCAAAATGTGTGGATTTTGAATCCCTCTTCTTCCTCCACCCCCCTCCAAAAAAAAAGTAACAGCTCCTTTGCCTAACAACTCTATTGGTTCAGATCTAATGTTGGGGCTAAAAGGAGAGGGTGTCTTTGTAACTGCAACCGAATTATCGTCGCCTAGCTGTTGTGTTATTGACATTGACTTTTTCCCCAACCACACTTGTCGCCGAGTAGATTCGAGAATCCAGCCAGATTGAAGGGAATAGAAAACTTTCTAGCATCATTTCAGGCGTATCGTTTGTGTCTCTTTGGCAATGTGAAGCTCTCCATACTTCTCGAGAAAATTAAACGGTCGAAATACCTTTCCAGTAGCCTTTGATGCTCCGTTACAAAAGTGATTTCGTTCGCTTCGAGAAAATTGCCTCGAGAGTAAAATGAGGTTATCATTTGCAATTAAAAAAAAAAAAAAGCAACAATAACACGAGAAGACAGATGGCAGTCACTCACAAATGATCGCGAGTAGGGCAGTAATCTCCGAAGTTCAAAATTAAATTATAGCGGCGTATCATAGGCGATAAAGCTGTATAATTTTTAGTTTTGAGTTAACTTTTTTTCCTTTCTTTTGTTTGTGTTGAAGGTTCAAACGCTTAGGTTGGAAATCGAAAACCTAAAGCGCCAGAAAAGGCAGATAGAAGAACAGTTTGCAGAGAGCAAGAGCGATAGGAACAGGCTCAATGAAGAACTCGTAGCTATCAGGAAAAGACTGATGATGAGGGAGACTGAGCTGGAGGCACTCAAACGCGAGCTGTCGTCCAAGAACAACATTATTGCTTCCCTCAAGGCTGACAAGGTTGCTCTGCAGAGGGAACTGGAGACGATGAAGTCAGAGATAGTCGTTAGCCAGTCCGTCACCACCGTTCAAGAATCGGCTCCAATGGAAGAAGACTTCTTTAGCACGCAGATAACAGAGTACGAGGCCACTCTGAAGAGCTCCGTAGATGAGAAGGAAGGTCTGCAGGAGGAGATCTTGAACCTGCAGACAAAGCTTGCCAGGCTGCAAAGTGATTACGATAGAGCAAGTCGCGACCTGGATGCCACCAAGAAGGAGTGTGACCTCAGGGTTAAAAAGTTCGAAGTTCAACTGCAAAATTCTCAGAAACAGCGTGAGGATCTAAAAAGGCAGCTGGAAAAGTTACGTGACGATCTAAAGAAGAGCAGAGAGGCCTTGTCAAGTGCACAGACGGAGGCGGTGAACAACAAGAGGGTTGCCGACAGACTTCGAGATGAGGCAGAGGGCAAAAACAGGCAAATCCGCAACCTAGAACAGAAGAACGGCTCTCTTGAAGACCATATTGAGCAACTCAAGCAAGATCTATCTCAGAGCGAGATGCGTGCCGAGGTAGAAGCAAAACACGCAAAGGACCTCGAGAACGAACTTCGTTCATCGGAAAGGCGGTATGCTGAGGCGGAGGCCATGATTGAAAGCCTGCGAAGCTCCAATGAAGATCTCCAGCGCGAGCTTGCTATTAGTAACAGCAGGGTGTTGACGCTAGAGAGTCAAAATGGTAAGATGACAAGCCGCGTGAGGGAACTGGAGAACGAACTGGTCCGTTGCCGTGCTCGTATTCATGACCTGGAGAACGAATTTGAAAGCATCAACACCAAGTGTGTTCAGCTTCAGTCATCATACGATTCTTCCGCGAGTGAGGTTGACGGACTACGATCCAGGGTAGGGGGGCACCAGAGCAAGGTGAATGAGTTGGAGTCCCGCCACTCAATAACTTCCAAAGAGAGAGACGACCTCAAGCTACGTATAGCTCCTTTGGAGAAGATGATCTCTGAATTGAGATTGTCTTTGGAAAGGAATGAAAATGCACGAGACGAACTAGAGCGAGAGATTGATGCGTTAAAAGTTAAAAACTCTAACTTAGAAGCACAGCTTACCTCAACCAACAAATCCAAGACTCAGCTAAGGGCAGATTTGGATGCAGAGAAGGACAAGAACAATCAGCTTAGAAAAGAGATCACTTCTGTGCAAACCCAACTGGGAGAAGCGCAACGTAACCTCAAGAAGCTCAAAAGCGACAACGAAAGGAAACAAAAGGTCATTGATGACTTAAGGGACACAATCCGGGAACATGAAGGAACCATTCACGAGAAAGAAAAAGACGTCCAGTACCTTAATGAACAAAACAAAATGCTTGAAGATGAGAAGAATGAAATCCACGACGAGCTCATGGATAATAACAAGAAACTAGCTGAGCTGGAAGAGGATCTTAAGCAAACCCAGGACGTCAAAGATAACGTTGAAAGAGATCTCATTGAGGCACAGCAGGCTAATGGCGAGTTGGAAAACGCCCTAGAAAACACCGAAAAAGAAAAGAGAGACTTCGAGGAGCAGGCACTCCAACTTCGGCAGAACCTGACACGCGTAGAGGCAGAACTTCGTGATGCCCTCAGTAAGAAAGCTGTTCTCGAAGAAGATGCTAAACAACACGATGCTGCTGTTTCCAAACTTAGTGACGAGATAGATCGTCTTAAAGGGCTCCTTGCCGAAGCACAACGTCAAATTGATACTTACCGCCAAGAGATTGACATCAAAGATGCTACCATCTCGACCTTGAAATCTCAGATCAGTGATCTGGACAAAGAAAATGACGATTTAAGAGCGGAGCTTTCTAAAGTGAAAACGCAGCTTGCAGCAGTGGAAGAGGAGAAGAGGAAACTTCAGATCACACATAACACAAAGGACGAAGAAATCAATCGACTGACCGGAGAAATCGACATTACGGTCAAACGCAATGAAGAGTTACAGAGCGAATGCATTGTGGTGGCCGACAAAGTGCAAAGTGTTGAGTCCAGTTACCAAGACTTTATGTCTTTGGCTAGCGATAAAGATGGTTTGCTTGAAGCAGAACAAGAAAAGAACGCGCAGTTAGAAAAGGAAATCAAGTCCTTGAAGTTGAAGATAAAAAGTCTAGAGGACAAGGATCGATCGAGAGAAGTTGATCAACTGAAGGCGGACCGCGATGCTGCTAATGAAGAAATTGCTAGGCTGCACGATCGTATTCAGCAACTAGAAGGTGAGAAAGATGACCTATCCCGCGAAATCCTCGTAGTCCAAAGTGACCTTTCCCAGAAGGAGAATGATCTCGAGGCAGCCGAGAAGGACAAAGAGAAAGCCGAAGATGATGTGCACGTAGCTCAAGGAAAGATTGACAACCTAGAAAGTCAACTGACAGCTCTACGCAAGCAGAATGGTCAACTGAAAGACAATTTGAAGGACGCCAACAACAAGATCATCAAAGGCAAAGAAGAAAATAATGACCTTCAAACCAAAGTCAGCCAACTTGAGAAGATCAGTGAAGGTTTGAAAAACGTAATTGCCAAGAAGGACAAAGACATCATCAATCTTCAAGACAAAATTAAGAAGTTGCAAAGTGAGTTAGCCGATGCTAAGAGAGAGGTGATTGCCGCCAATGCAACTGCCGAGAGCCTTAAATCTGACAAAAAGCATCTAGAACGAAAACTGGCTGATGAAAATAAGCGTTACCAGGTACTAGAAAAGGAAGTTAAAGATCTCAAGGCACAAAGAAATGCTATGGAGACTGAACTCAGCAGTAAGACGCACAAGCTGGCTCTCATTGAATCTCAGTTGAACAGCATTAGAAAGGAACGAGATAAACTGAAGGAGGAAGTGAAATTCCTTAACGACTCTGTGAAGAACTACAAGGAGGAAAATCTGTCCATGCAAACTAATATCCGACGCCTAGAAAAGGAGTTAGAGTCCAAGATCAAAGAGATTCAAGACAAATCTGCTGTTATCGAGCGGTTGAAAGCAGAAAAAGCTAAAGTTGACGAAGAGCTGCTTAACTTGAAGAAAGAACTGATGACAACTCGAAATCTCCTTGACGCTGCCAATAACAAGATCAAATCTCTGGAAAACACCCTGAAGCAAACCAACCTTAGCTTGAACAAGCTAGAGGTAACTATTCAAAACTTAAATAGAGAGCGAGAGGAAAGAGATCGGGTCGGTTCCACCCACGACAGCCAATATATTGAAATTGAGACCCTCTACAAGGCTTCTCAAGACCGTGAAAACAGGTATAAGCAAGAAATTCAAGCTCTTAAAGCACGTTTGGACAAGATGGAGCCAGACTATCGCAAAATCCAACAAGAAAACGTGGACCTTCGGGCTAAAATTAACGCCTTAAATAAGAAAGTCCGTAACTTAGAAGGTGCGCGCGACCGCATTGACAAAGAGAAGCAGGCCATCCGATCAGATCTGGAAGCTGCCAACAACCAAATGGCGGTTCTTGAGGTAACCTGTGACAATGAAGCCAAAGAGAAAGACTCCTTCAAGAAGCAGCTAGATGACGCTCTCGAAAAGCTGGCAAAGGCGAGAAAGCAGAATCTCGAACTCGAACAGACCATCGTTGAAAAGAAATTACAGCTTGAGGAGCATGAAAAATTATTGATGGAGAAGGATAACGAGATCAAGAACTTAAAAGCCAGCAAAGAATTCTTGCAAGGTCAACTTGATGCCGCAAAGTCGCGTCTAGACAACGCTCAACAAGAAATTGATGACCTGAAAGCTGAGAATGCCCTTAAACAGAGCGAATTCCTCGAAATGCACAACAAGATTAGTGAGTTGGAGGCTAAAATTTTGAAACTGACCGGGGAGAGAGACAGAGCTCTCGATGATGCTAATATCAATGCCCAAAAAGTTGCTAATCTGGAGGAGCAAATAAGAGAGTTGGTCAGCGAGAAGACAAAGCTCTTGGAAAGGATAGAAGGTTTAAAGAAAGAGAATAACACCCAAAGGGAGGAGCGAATGGAGGTCGACAAGCAGCTCACTGAACTGCACGGCAAGATCAACTTTTTTACAAGAGAGGTCGAGAACAAAGACAAAAACATTGCTGACTTAAAGAATAAAGAAGAGATCCAAGAAAAGGAGATTGACAATCTTAGGAAGAATCTGCGCCACCTGGAAAGTGATTATGAATCAGCCCTTCAGAAAATAAGTGAACTGGAGAAAGCATGTCATTCTGTTAATCAGAGAACGCTAATGATCGAGAGCAAGAGTGATAGCCACCGTGACAAGGCTAAGCGCCTCGATGAGGAAAATAGTGCCTTGAAGCGAAGAATCGCGGAGTTGGACATCACTAATAAAGTCAACGAAGAGAAAGGCCATGAACTGCAAGATAAACTCCTTCGAGCCCAGGAAACGATTGCTAATCTGGAGTCCGCACCACCAATGGAGTCCTCGATAGTGGTGGAAACAGAAAGTAGCGTAGAGGCAGCAGCAGGAGACGGAATGGAGGTTGAATTTCTGAGGAGGGATTTGGAGGATTTGAAAGATAAAAATACCCAACTAGAGAAACAACTGCGGCAGGCCAAGGACTTACAAGAGAAACTACAAGCGCAAATAGATGGCAAAGACAAGACTTTGAAGGAGAACGACGAAACCATTTTGGATCTCCAAAGAAGCATTCAGGAGCTTACCATTCGCCTTAAGAAAACAGATCAGACAGATGCTCCTGGGATTGTGTCATCTTTACGCGGTCAAATAGACGACTTGGAAAGCGATAATGAAAGGCTGAGGAAGGAGCTTGATGCTGTCAAAACAAGACTGGTGGATGCCCAAAACTATCGTGCCAAAGTTGACAACCAACTTTATCAAATCAAGGGGAAGTTAAACGAGGCTGAACTTAAGCTCAATTTGGCCAATACTCAAAATGAAAATCTCCACCAGGAGCTGTTAAGGGCCCAAGAGAAGAACCACGCTATTGAGGCTGAGCGAGATCGTGATTTGCAAGCACAGGCAAACCTTCGCGGTGAATTAAACGAGACGAAAAAGCGTTTGGAGAAAGCAAAGGCCGATCAAGACAACTTAACCATTCAGATACACGACCTTACAGGGGAGGTGCAAGCTGTGAAGCAAGATCGAGAAGATAAAGAGAGAGCGGTCCGCTGGCATGTTAGCAACGAACGACAGCTAAAGGATGAAATAGCCTCTTTGAAGAGAAAACTGGACAACATGAGGGAAGCAAATGACAAACTTATCAACAGTGAGGACAACTTGAAAGCCCAGATACGAGAAAAAGAGGCAGAAATTGCTGACCTTGACCACAACATGACTCTCCTCCGGCATGAGAACGATAAGCTACGTAAAGACTTGGCCACTGCAAATGCTAATGCGGCGGACTGGAAAAAGAAGTACTCAAACGCCTCCAGTGACATTGAAAGGTTGCAAAATGAACTCAACGCGAAGATTCTTAAGATAAGAACCCAAGATAATCGCATCAAGACACTTGAAAGTGACAAACAGCGCCTTAAGACAGAGATCTCCACTCTCAAAAAGACAATTTCAGATCAAAAAGTTCAAATTGAGGCTCGCTCAACACAGCGCAGTCGTACCGAAATAATCGTACAGAGCGCCGGTCCTAGTCTTCAGTCAGCTCCAGACATGTTCCAGTTCAGAGATGACTCCGTGCCAAGTAAGAAATACAAAGACTTAGAGACATCATACAAGAAAGTTCTTAGAGAGAAAGAAGATGGAGATAAAGATGCTGCAACGTTGAAAGACAGGCTTGCCAAGCTAGAGAGTGAGCTTGCCGATATTAACAGAGCCAAGAACGCAGCCGAAGGCGATTCCATGTGGAAAGCTCAAAGAATTAGCCAACTGGAAAGCGAGCTGAACGATCTACAATCGAAGGACATGGTTGATTCTGATGAGGCCCTTGGATGGAAGAACGAGATAACTCGTTTGCAGCAGGACCTAGAGGCAGTTAAAAACAAGGACGTCCGTCTGGAGGCCAAGATTGAAACTTATGAAGGAAAGGTGAAAGAATTCAGTGATGACTTGATTAAAGCAAAAGAGAGGGTTGCCCAGTTGGAGTCTAAGGCTGAAGACGACCAAGAGAAAATTGATGAGCAGCGTAAGGCATTGATGGAGGCTTACAAGAAGGTAGCAGACCTTGAGGCAGCCAACAAATCTGGTCATAACAGCAAGAGTGAACTCAATGGTGTGATAATGACCTTGCGCGATAAGATCGAAGCTCTGGAAAATGAACTCCAGAAAGAGGCCAAGCAGCATGCACATGTGAAAGGCACTCTTAGCCAAGTGAAGATAAAAAACGATGAACTCAAGCTGGAAATTGCAAAGCTGCAGAAGAAATTGCGAGAAGTACTGCAGCAATACGATTCTCAGGTTCAGGAATGGTCAGAGAGAAAGTACACCATTGATGGACTTGAAAAAGACAATGCCGACTATATTGCCATAACAGAAAAGCTGAGGCGAGAAAATGCCAACCATAAGAATTACCTGGACAACTTGGAGACAGAGAAGCGTAACCTCCAGAGTGAGTTGAACCAAATGGCCCCCAAGATGGACGAACTCGAAAGTCGTTTGCGGATTGCTTTTGAGGAGAGGACCAGATTCCAAATCGAGCTAGACGATGCCAAGAGGGCTCTGGACGAGACTAGACGGGAGCCAGAGCCGATTCGTCAAGTATCTAGTGGTGGGTTAGAAGCAGGTGTGGACATGTTCCCTGAGTTGTCCATTGATCTCGAAACGGCCAAAAACGAACGCGATCGCCTTACCAGTGATGTTTCCTCCTGGCAGAACAAGCACAACACCCTACAGAACAACTATGACAACTTGAACGCCGACAAGAAGCGCCTTGAGGACAAACTTGACAGCATGCAGAAAACTATAAACCACCTTGAACACAACAATCAGACCCTGACATCAGACAAGAATAGACTGACTGTTGAACTGGAATCAGCCAAACGTAAAACGGCTGATCTGCTGTCTGAACTAGATGACGCAAAACGCGACAAGGATGCCTTGAAGGTGGAGTATGAGATAATTCAAAAGAAGATCACGAAGATTGAAGCTGAGTATGAAATCCACATTAAACACCGCCACGACTTTGATGACTCCGGCGCTTATGCCAAGCTAAGTGAAGCCTACAAACGCAGCCAGGAGAGGGAAAACGAAGTGCAAGAGGAGCTCTTGGTCTGTTACAAGACTATCGGAGATTTAAAACACCAGTTAGAAAACGCCCACGAGACCATGGAGAGGCTCACAGTTACCTACAACACTGAAACTATCAGAAGTGCGACTTTACGAGAGGAAGTTGTAAATTACCAGAGAAGACTCTCAGAGCTGGAAGAGAAATACGAGATCAACCGAGGAGCTAATGAAGACATGGAGAATGAGTTGACCGTATTACAGCAGAGAATGGAGGAGCTTAGTCGCGAGAACTCTTCCATTCAGGAGTCGAAGGCTTTGGTGGTTGTTGAAGTTACCAACCAGCGCAACAAGATTACACGCCTTGAACAGCAGCTGGAAGACTCTGAGCGTGAAAAGGAAAACCTCCGTCTCCAGTTGACAGCCATGCACAGTAAAGGCGATGCTGAGGCACATGAGATCAGCAAGCAGATTTCCCAACTGTCGGAGCGAAGTTTAACATTCCAACGTGAAAAGCAGGATCTAGAAAGGCAGCTCTCCCAGAAGCATGCGGAAACCATTTCGCTGCAGCGCGAAAATGACGCTCTGAAGTCACAAGAGTACAGCTCTTCCACTCAAAAGCAACTTGAATCTTTATTCGAGTTTGGCGGTGATGCAGACCTCGGACCATCGGCCGAGTCCACCAGATTTGAGTTCGACAATGACGATTTCGAAGGAGGAGGAACAACCGTGACAACCCGTACTGTTAAGGTTAAGAGCTCCAAGAAAGGAAGATCTTAAAGAAACGTAGAACATTTCTTTCATTTCTTTTAAGCAAAACAGCACATAGGGATATAGCTTTTGTATCGAAGTAATTTATATGGATATGTTACTTATTGCTTTCTCTGAGCAATTTAAAAAGTAAATGTCATCCTTGTTTTCATTTGATTTCTACAAGCAACTTGCATTTTGATAACTCGTCGGGCTCGATTTCTTTAATTTATGCACCTTAATCGAGGGTTAAAAACTTTCTTTAAGCCGTATTTTTCATCTAACAATGAGGTTTTATGGTCGTTGCATGCGACAGTGCAATATCTGTTCTCGCAGGTGGAGGACGTTTTTGCGTTTGAGCTCTAGGTTGCTATCATTGTTATTGAATTTACGGCTTAGAAGCCCATCGTTTATTTTCTTTTAGGAAAAAAGAACTGCATCTTTAGGTCTTTTTCGCATGTAAGGAAAACTGTGTACTAAGTCGCATTAGACCTCTAAGACAGAGCTAGTATTTGAGCTAATATTCGTTAGAGCAGTAGTTCCCTTCATATCGTCGAGAATTTAAAGGATATTGTTGCCGATGGTTAGCAAAAACACTCGGACACTCGGCAAATAGAAATAGTTGTAGAATTTTTATGTTTCTCTAAATATCTTATTTTTCTATTTTCATTGCGGTATTTTTATGTACTCGAATAAGCGCTGCCTCCGAATAAACGCAGTACCTGTTTCATGAACGCCACGGTACATAATTGAATTGAGTAAGTATTCGGGGGAAGAGCAAAGAGCCTCAAACTTTATGCTAAGCGTGTCTGGGTGTAATATGTGTTTTCAAGCAATAATAAATGCATTTTAAATCATCAGCTGTTTTTATGTCGTTCAATGTTAACGCGATATTCACGATAACCCTTTCAATGCAGATTTGATTGACATGGTATTTCTCCTTACAATATCAGCATATTATCAAACAAACAGGTGATGACAGTGCGCAAACTCATCAGCCAGATAATATGATCTCGAGTTACCACCTCGTTTCCTGTACTAATCCACAAGAAAATCTTTGGTTACTGATGGGTATTTTCAGTTTAGCCTCATTCTATATTTAACCCCAAATCAACATTCAATAATTACTGAAAATTTGTTTATAGAGTTTGGTTGCAGCTAGTTAAACACTGGTTTGCCTGTGGTTACCTCTATGGACTATATTCTTCGCCATATCTCATTTTATGTTTTCAGTTTAAACCGAGATTAAAGTTCTGCAAATAGCTGGGCGCAAACAAAGGATGCTATATGAAATGTGGTACTGAAGAATAAGAAAATTGGAGGTTGAATTGGTAAATTAAAAAACAGCGCCTTTCGATTGAGTGTCGGAAAACTAAAACCAAAGAAATCAAATCAGCTAATTAGAGGAAAGGAAAATGCAACAAGGAGCCAGTGAAATTGCAAATTAAATACAAACAACATCACGAAGCGCGGGAAACAGGGTTGACCAAGTGTCAATTGCTTTTAATTGTGCGTCTCGGGTTGTGAGGATGGCGGGAGTTTTCTAGACCAATCACATTGCGAAATAAACCAAAAGCAGAGCAATCCCGTGATAGTGTCACTCATTTTGAAATTAGTTGCAAGTTGATCGATCACACGTTTGTGTGATCTACACTTCTATAAAGTTTCTGATATTTCAAGTGAAAATGATCGCATGCCGACTTTTAATTTAAATAGATAATCTATTCTTTTTCTTTGATCAGCTTGCCGAGGGAAGGAAATTTCTAATTCACAAATTAAGCGAACAGAGGCACGTCTTATGAGGGAAAACAAAGGAATTAAAATATATTTGATTGAGCGGCAGAATAACCGATATCTAATAATTAATGTTTCTCACCTTTAGACAAAAGGTACATCGACGGTATGGCGACGTGAGCATAGTTTTGTACAATATAGTTTATGCGGAATAACCAAATAAGTATTTTTTTCTCTCAGAACGACACAGACAGAGGTTACGCTTAGTAAACTTCCAAAGTAAGGCCGAAATCCGGCTGTTTCAAGTACTAAAAGGTTAAATTACCAACACCGATGGATGTTGATTACGGAGAGAAGAAGAAGAATAAAACCTGAAAAGTGTTAATTAAGATCCCCAAAGGCCTTCCCTTACGTAATTAAAAGACAAAGGTTTTTCCTGGATTGAGCTAATTGACGGTTAAGCATATTGGTATGGGTTGATGACGACAACTCGAAAACGAGTTAGCTAGTCGTTAGCGGGAAGAGAAAGTTGTTCCAACGCAACAAAATAAAGCCGGAATTACGCCTTGGGGTGAGTTTGTTTTCATCACTGGTAAAACGGGGAAAGGCTGTTGATGAAACAAAGAAGAAAAATAACAAATAAACCTTTGATAAAATAAGTTCTGAAATGGAGATTGGGCCAGCTGGACTGAAGCGTGTCACTGTCCACTTTGAAGACACAGTTCGCCAAGCAGCTTTATCCCTGAAAGAGCCCCATGACCTCGAATCCAGTGACGAAGAATTAAAACACGGAAATGATGATTACAGCAGCGAAGATGAGTGGGATACAGATTTAGAAACACCGTCCAAAGACGAACAGAGGACTCACAGAACGGCTGATCTAACAGGGAAATCATCGTACTTACGAACGTGTCGCGCGCTCGGAGTTCCACCGGTTTCTGTCGTACTTGACACGATTCATACTTCGGAGATCGCTTTGCCACATCACGGGTTAGGGCCTAAAGGTGGTAGGGCTCTCGCTAGGGCGCTCGTAAAAAGCACCACTGTTGCGAAACTCGACTTGCAAGAAAACAGCCTGGGCGAGGAAGGAGTGGATTACTTTGCCAAGATGTTCTTCGAGAACTGCTACATAACATGGGTAAATCTCTCTGGAAACTCGATAGGTTCGAACGGTGCTCGAGCAATGGGGAGCGTCCTCAAGGAAAACCAAGCCCTACAATGGCTTGATCTGTCTTTCAACAACTTTGTTGACAAGGACGCGAGACCACTCGCTGAGGGTTTAAAAAGCAGCACAACCCTTAAATTCCTCAACTTGAGTAGAAACTCATTTTGCGAGGCAGGCGGAGAGTTATTAGGTCTAGCCTTGGAGGAAAACAATAGCATCACTGAGCTGAATCTTAGCTGGAATCATTTGCGGTTAAGGGGAGCTATTGCCATCTGCAAAGTCATGGCAAAAAATAGCGCCATCAAAATCCTCGATCTGTCCTGGAATGGTTTTGCCGACGACGGAGCGGAAGCAATGGGAAACGCGCTGAAAAAGAATGACGCGCTTCTTGAACTGGATCTAAGCCACAACCGCATAAGTGAAAAAGGTGCGTTTGGATTAGCTAAGGGTTTGGAAATAAGCAGAAGACTACGAGTGCTGAAGATTGGATTTAATCCTTTCGGAAACCCTGGAGCATATGCTTTCTTAAAAGCAATCGAAGGAAACCCGAATTCAGCCTTGGATGAAATCCATCTTGACAACATTACTTTAAAAGAGAACTTTGAAATCCTCCTGGCAGAGTTAATGAAAAACAAGCCCGCCTTACAAGTCACCTATGCTGTTTCCATCCATGACAGAAAAAGAGGCTCCGAAGCCGGTTACCATGACGACCAAGGCAATGACACCGGAGGGCGAATGAAGCATGAATTGCTGACAGCATTGAAGACGTTCCTGTCGGAGAGAAGACTTCGTGCTCTGGACCTTTTCAACTGCTTGGATAAGGACAAGACACAGAGTGTGTCTCCAAATGAGATGTTTATCGGTCTGAAGAAACTCAGCGTGCCGCTAAGTGACTTACAGTTGAAGAGACTGATCCGCGTACTCGACAAAGACGGGGACGGAGAGATCGATTATGGAGAGTTCGCCGCAGTCAACGAAAAATAACCTATTTGATTTCTCCCCATGAACTTACGTGGGAGACACACAGACCCTTACCATGCTGGACCGAGATCGACAGGTTTAAGTTTATTCGCTCTGACGAAGAGCTTACGCTAGAAACAACAAATTTATCTTGCTTTTCCCCCTCCCCCCCTTCCCCCTTCCCCCCTCTCCCACCGAAGTAGCATCACAGTTTCGTTAGCAACTTACCCTCTTCATTCATTTGAGGTAAGCGGATGGGCTCGGATCCCATCAAAGAGGTGCAGGAACTTTCTACGAATGCTCCTTTATGCCATGGAGACCGGGATGAGCTCCGGGAGTAGTGTACAACAATTCGTGAAGAAAATACAACGCTTAAAATCCACAACAACATTATATATATTTGTATATATTTGTTACGAACCGACAAAATGGCCAGCTCTTAATTGCATTATTAATCAGTTCACATATATGATTTTCATACATTCACAGTCATTTATTTTATATGATGATAATTCAAACAGCACAGTAAAAGCGATTAAAAAAACAAACGATAACAGTAGTAAGAAATGTGTTCGGTTGATGAAACAGGCTACTGACAGGTGCTCTCTGATCCGCTGCATTAAAGTGAGGGTAAAACTTGAGAGGAAGGGAAAAAAACTTAAGTAGAACATAACTGAAAGATTAACGAAATTAACTACGAAAAAAATTGAAGTAAATAACCAGATGGAGGGCCGAAAGTCACAGTGTTTCGTGACCTCGGCGTGAAGTGCGTGACATGTCATTAAAAAAAATGTAAAGTTGTGACAGTCTACTTAAGCTCCCAACCTCCCCCCGCCAAGATTCTAGCTACTCCCCCTACACTGCCCATGTTAAAAATTCCATAATAATAATAATGATAATAATAATAATAATAATAATAATAATAATAATAATAATAACAATGATAAATATAGAAAGGCAAAGGAATCGCGACTCACATAGTCCCAGGATCCCTAATCTTGTCATCGTGAAAAGGCATTTAGGAAATTTAGAGTTCATCGCTTGGCGCAGTAACAACGGAGACAAGGCTTACTAACGAGAACAGGAGAACAGGAGAAACATTCGCATAACTAAACACTCAACAATTACTGAAAAAAGCGAGGACACAGCGGTGTTGAGCTCCGGAAACTAACGGCACGTATGCGTGACTGTCACGGAATTTTTGTTTTTTTGTTTTTTTTTTGAAGTGTCTTGTAATACGAAAGCATTACTTTTCTTGTGTCAAACGGGGTTATTATTTGTTGTCGTATAGTCCCTAGAGTAGCTAAATTTTAACTTGTGATACAAGTACATTCGCCTTCTTCAGCTTGCTCATGCTCGATCTCCCAAGGGATATAGCCGGTATGGTTGTCATGGAAACTACACAAGAATCCGTGGAATTGACAGCTCCGTCTCTCGAAAAGAACATTCGATCGGTGATTTAGCAAAGGTAAACAGGATTTTCGCGTTTGAGGTGTCTGTTGCTGAAAGCTATTTTATCAAAGGTAAGGTTAGTCATCTCTTTAAGTCTCTGATATTTTGTTCTGGTTAAATCATGAGTCAGATTCACTAAAATGCAATTTAACGGGGCGATAAATCTATAATCCCTTGATTTCACTTGTTTGCGAGAACTAAGGTTACATGCAGAGCACATAAAAGCCTATCTTCTTTCACGTTTTCAGCACGTTATCGTGGACATTGCTTGGGTTTAGCTAACAATTCTTTGGATTATACTTTAATTTGAGCTGGAACAAAAGCTTTTCAATTTGTCTGACAAAAGATAACCTCCCTCAAGCCGACTTAAACAATCGATCACGTTACCCAACTTTACTGAACTGAATCGAGCTCTCTAATAAATGTTGAAGCGTCGAATCGATCATTGATCACTTCAGAACATTATCGAGACCCCAGTGGTACCAGAATTTCTTTAATTAATGACCAAAATGTAATCTTGAACTAAGCGGCCGTGAGTCCTTTGAAATGTCTTAACGGACTTATAAACCATGACTTTGGTAACACAGCATCAGCAACATAATTACAACACAAGAAATAAAGCCAATTTTGAATTCCCCAGTGTAAAGAGGAACTGGGGGAAACAAAGCACTGCGTATCATGCTGTAAATGACTTTAATTCACTTAGTTAGGTAATAAGAGAATCTGCTAATATTATTACATTCAAGCGACATGTTTTAACTTATTAATTTAATTCTCAGCTATAATTCCTTTTTTTCTTTTAATTTTATGTATTTTTTTTGGTCTAAATCTACGAGGTCCTTTTGGAAAACCACTTTTTGGGAAAAAGTTTCCTCTATAAAGATTATTATTATGAACGCATTTAGTCAAAATTTGCATCCAGTTCAAGTAACTTTTAAGTTTAAGTTTTTTATGTATTTTATGTATTATGTATTTTATGTATTAATAAAAAAAATAAATTATGCCTGAGCCGATGTAAAGCTTCGAAGTTCTTCATGGAAGAACTTGAAAGTAAAACGGCAAAGTTGAAAGTTTTCCAGGGTAAACAAATAGTTTTTGTAAAATTCCGAAAATCTAATTATGTTGACTCAAATAATTCTTTGATTGTACACGATGTCCTACTAAGTCAGTGAACTTGTTAATCTTGCAACCAACAGATCTGAACAGGAGATTGATGGGAAATTAGATCGCAAGCCAAATTTATTTTTGGTTTTCGAGGGAAATCGCTTCAATCTTGTAATTTCGGTTATACAAAAAAGAATAGTAATTTTGAGCTGTATGGCCTCCTTAATTCCTTATGCAGACAGGACAAAACATGTGTTAAAGGAGGGAAAAAAAAACAGCTTTTTCCTAAGCTGGTGTTTTGTTAGTGCAAGCCATTGCAATTTATGTTACACAGTTTTCATGGATGGTCTTTTGGTCCAGTTTATGTTAGTGTATCTGTTTATGTAAGAGCAAATTATTCAACCAGGGAGATGACAGTTTTAACAGCTTTGGTTTTACTAAGCTAACAAAAGGGCATGAGCAATTATTACTCTCTCTCAAAATCAGCATAACAACAGTTTGCTCTCTTTCAGCTTGACAATGCATGCTAGAAATGCCACAGTGAAGAAGGTTGACAAGACCTTACGAGCATTGAGCTCTGTCACTCTGTCAGTCAATCCGAATCATGTAAAACTCAAACCAGGCACTGCTTCACCTGCAAGTGGCACTGATGAGAGTGACGATTCAGATGGATGGGAAACTGATTTAGAGTGCGAAGAGGTACTTGTAATCTCACTTTGTACTCTACCTATGAACACTACACTTGACACTTCAAAATAAATATAATGGGGCTACTTGGAAGGCCCTTTTACAAGAGCCTGGAGAGCCACCATGATCTCAATAGATTACAAGCAGTCCCTCCTTTTCAGTGAGGTCCTTCACATGATTCCAAAAAATTATGTGACAAAAGAATTATGGAATTACTTTCTGTGTGCCTTGCTCCCAGAGTTCAAAATGACATGTCAGCCACAATCCTTTTTTTCCCTTTTTTTTTGTGTCCACAGATTTCACAGCAGTGAGGGACTGCTTGAAGTCTACTATCTCACTCCATTCATTTTTTCTTTGCTGAAAGTTCAATTGATTTAGATAAGATTACAAGCCAGCCCTGTTATTGTGATAACCCTTACTAAAAAATTGGTAATAAATATAATCCAGCCCTGATTTGAGTGTGGGAGGTCACTTATTCAGCCTAAACAGGCTAAAAGAGGGTATGATAGCAGGTTCCTGAGTCATGAAAAGGGTATACAATCTTTTTGAACTAGAGAACATGTTTGTGAACTGGAAGACTTAACCCTTTTACTCTTAGAATCTTGATATCGATTCTAGTTTCTGTTAGCCATACATTATCTTTTTTTAAGCTCTGAGAATTTGGTTTTAAATCAAGTGTTATCACATGGTCAATTTTCTTCTTTCTTCTCAATACCTTTCCACTTGAAAATGTATTGAGATTGTTAAGAGAAATTCCATTTTGGTCACTCCTTGTAGTTTTAACCCTTTAACTCCCAAGATCTGATTGTTAATTCTCCCCTCTAGCTGCTAGACATTTCCTTGTAAATTAGTTATGAGAACTTGGTGGTAGATCAAGATAGCAGCTACCTGATAAGTTTGAATATTCTCTTTACCTGTTTGCTGAAGAATGTATGGATATTGTAGGGAGAAGTTTTATGTTAATCACTTCTGGGAGTTAAAGGGTTAAAGGATTAAGAAGAGTACAAGTGTCAAGCACACCCTTCCCTGCCCTTGACAATGGTAGACTTTGTTTTTATTTATTGTTCAACAAGCACCCCCTGTTGCAACCTTTTCTGCATTTATGGAATTGATAAAAAAACTTTGAAAGAAATCAGTTGGCACTTGCATCCTGACAGGTGCAATTAGGGACTGTTTCATTTTTATTGTTCAGTTTCAGCCACACGCTCATCGGCTAATTCAAATAATTGAAATTTTAATGACATACAGTAATATGTTTGGTCAGGGGTATGAAAAAAAAAGAGGTTTTGGGATTTTTTAGGTGAACTGGACTTGTATTATTCCTTTGGCATTTAAGGGTTTTGTGGATTTTATGGATTTTGAAGGCTATCAGAAAAAACTGTCAGAACAACCCACTTTCCCCCTTGACAATATTAGGCTTCATTTTCTTCAATTATTCAACCATGAATAGTGGAAGGGGAGTTTTGTTGTGGAGTACAGTTAACTTTTAATTTTGTTTTGTAATATACCGGCGCCCTTCAATGTGGCAATGCTACAAGTGAATCAATTATTTTGTAGGTTGCATGAAGATGCAGTCTTGCATCTGTACAACTCAATTTCAAACTAGACTCTCTCTTCTTTCAGCTGAAGCCACAGTATGATCCAACAGGGCGAACCCTATACCAGCGTGCTTGTCAGAAACTTGGTATTGTTCCTGCCTCCTTCTTTATGCGGCACATGACAGAGCCAACAGTTACCATGTCACACCATGGACTTGGTCCATTAGGCATCCGAGCAATGGCATTGGCTCTTTTATACAATACAAGAGTCACAAGTCTGAATATCAGAGACAATGGTATTGGAGAAGAGGGAGGTGAGATTGTGGCAAAACTGCTGAGAGAAAACTATTTTATAGTGGAGTTAGACATGTCTGAAAATCAGCTTGGTAGAGGGGCAATTGCAGAGATGGCAGAAACTCTTAAGGAGAATAATACACTAACAAAACTTGGACTTGCAGGAAATACCCTTGACGATAAAGATGCTGAGGTAATATGCCAATCATTGCTGGTAAACAATACCCTCAGCCACCTGGATCTAAGCTGTAATAAATTCTCTAACAAAGCTTGTGAGTTTTTTGCAAAAGTTCTTGATGAGAACATTACATTATCAGATCTTGATCTTAGCTGGAATCACATACAAGTCAAAGGTGGACTGGCTCTAGCCAAAGGACTGAGAGGAAATGTGAAGCTCAAAAGCCTGAACCTGGCATGGAATGGTTTAGCAGATGATGCAGCACGATCATTAGCAGGGGCTCTGCTTGAGAATGGTACCCTACAATTCTTGGATTTAAGCAGCAATAGGATTTCAGACACAGGTGCTTTCAGCATTGCTAGATGTCTGGAGAGCAATTCTTCACTAGAAGTTCTACGGCTGTCAAAAAATAACCTTAAAAACAACGGGGCTAGCGCTCTTCTGAATTCCATTATAAAAAATGGAGACAGTAGAATTCACAAGATTGATCTCATTGGTACACCCCTAAAAGAGGAATTTCACATAATTGCAGAAGAATCGAGAAAGTTGAGGCAAATTGAAATAATTACAGATGAGACTCCAGAATTAAGACACAAACAAGAAGAACCTGACCCAGGGACACTTTTGCGTAACTACATTGCAAAGGAACATGTTCAAATTGTAGACTTGTTTAGAAAGTTGGACCGAGATGGGAGCATGCAAGTAAGTGTGAAGGAATTTGCAGAAGGGCTGCGGAAATCTCAGGTTGGGTTAACACAGTATGAGGTGGACAGAATCATTGATGTGCTTGATGCAGACAAAGATGGTGAAATAGACTACAGTGAATTTGTTTGCATACAAGGTGAATGGAAAAATGATGAGAAGGGAAAACGAAAAATTTCAAAACCACCTCATTAGAACAAATCTGATAATGAAGTTTACTCTCTCAGATTCTGCTGAAAGTTGAATTTTAAAGTTTAACTGTTAAACAATGAGATCTCATAAATCATACCAAGTAAGGTGGCCAATATATTAAGCCTTTACCTTCCAAGAGACTGCCATGCATTTCCTTGTGATCAGAACTTCAAGAGTTTAGTATTATATTAAGGAAGCTCTTAAAAGCTTGTCTGTTCACATGACATGTTTGCAAGATTATGCTTTGTAATCATGAGAAGTTAACTGTCCATCAATTAACTCTTTAACTCCCAAGGTCAGATTGTTAATTCTCCCTTCTGGCTGCTACACGTTTCCTTGTAGATTAGTTACAAGAATTTTGAGTAAGATCGAGATAACAACTTCTACCTTATAACTTTGAGTATTCTCATTACCTGCTTGCTGGATAATGTATGGATATTATGGGGAGAAGTTACATGTGTATCACTTCCAGGGGTTAACGGGTTAATAGAGTATTCAAGAGCTGTCCCAGATGCCCATACTGTTGTTTTTTGCAAAGGCTCAAATTATCATGACCTTACATCTTAAACCCTTTACACCCTAACATCAGTATGCATACTCTCTATACTGTTCTCTATACATTTCCTAAGGTTCTGACAAGGAGAATTTGTTTAACAATCAAGAGTTTCTCACCTTGGTGATCATTTCCCTTATTCATGTGACCTTAATATTTGATTCAAGGGTGATATTTTAACCCTTTAACTCTCATGAGTGACCAAGACAGAATTTCTCCTTACAATATCAATACAATATTAACCAGATAAGTGATGAGAATAAAGAAAAATGTCAATTTGGGGATAATTAGTTGATTCAATATTAAATTCTCTGAACTAACATTATGAAAATTGTATGGATGACAGTGAGGAGAATTAAAAATTTGATCTGGGAGTTAAAGGTTAAGGAGAAATAAGATGCTAAGTCATACATAGATTTAATTGAAGAACAGTATTTAACATGTTAATTTCATTACAATATCTGTCAAAATATAGATCTTGACGATGTGAATTATTCCAAAAATTCCCTCAATCAGTTTGTTGGTGTACTTTATTCTATAAATTCAATAATTTCTTTGAGAGCAAAGAACAACAGTTTTTTTTTTACAAGAAATTGTTAATACTCCTACTCCCCAGACTTGCAAACACAACTGATTGGCAAGATACATTTTTTTGGTGGCAGCTCCAATAAACTTTCTGCTCTAAACATAAAAGGAAAACAAATGACGTGTATGGTGCTTTGTATTCATGAACAAGAAATGTCACTCTAATAACTTTTGATAAATTATTTACATTTTTTTTAAAATGGTCATTAAAAATGAGGATTTTTCTCCATAATCCAGTTGACTGTTTCTTCCAGAAGTGCCAACTTGTAATGCCTGTGAAACAATATCAGAATAAGACCTTAAGTAAAGAAGCCACTAATTTGAAAGCTTAGCAGTTTTATGTCTGTGTGAGATAAATTGGTTTGGTTAACCTGGTAATCACACAGTCACAAAGACACAGGCAGTTACAGAGAAAAGTTGACACAGACTACTTTTATTCACAAGGAAATTATCGAGTTCTTATAAAATCTGTACATTGCATTTTTTCCAGAACCAAAATATTGAATTTGTGTCAAAAATTAGATATTTTGAGGTACAAAATTGACACATGAAGCAATTTGTAAAGAAATTTTTATGTAAACATTTATATAAAACCTAATATATCAAGTGATCTTGTTCTGAAATAATCTAGACTAAAGGGTGTAGCCACTCGATGACTATTAGTTTTAAAGGACTGAGAAAACAGTTACTCAACAGTTTTGAACATGTAACTTGTATATTATATTTCCTCAGATAAATTCCCATGTGCATGTATAAAATTTTGGCTAAAAGGAGTGGCATTTAATTTAATTGAGGGGGCGCTTGTTTGAAAACTCTTCCCCTCTACTGAATCTACTGCAGTTGAGGCTTAAAAAGTTGAAAATAAAGTAGCAACAGGAACAGCTGTTCTTTGTATCACTACTATATAATAAAGTGAGGGAGGGATGGGGGGCTCTTAATCGAGAGGTGTGTTTGTCTGATATTATGGCCCAGGGGGTGGGCACTTATTTAGGTGAAGGTGCCTATATGAGGAAATACTGCATGTCAATCACACAAGGATTAAGCTGTAGAACCTCCATTTAGGAAAAACCATTGGAATAAGGAAAGGTGTGCGCTGGATAGAGGCATCCTGCCTTCAGTGATGGTAATTGATACAAGGGTTTTGGTTAAGGATAAGTTATTAATTCCCTTAGCACAGAGGTGTAAGAAAAAGGAGGAACTTGTCCTGTACTGTTTAAAACTTACCTAGCCACATTTCTAAATGTCTTTAGCTTGTTGTAGAAGTCATCAACAGACAGAGTGTGGGAGAAGTTGCCTGCACATTTGCAGTATCTTGACATATTTGTTGCATTTACCTGAAATGGTCATTTGTTAGGATCAACTTGTAAAAAGTTCAAGAGATTGTCTGTAGTTCTCACCTGAGCATGAACAATTACAACTGTGCTTAAACCCAACTCTGTTGGACGATATCTAAAAATTTGAAGTGCTGTGAAAAGGTTACTATTTTAAGTTACATTCCTCGTTAAAATTTTTCTTATCAATTTTCTTGTTTTCCTAAGAAATTGTATTTAAAAAATGTGAATTTTTTTCTTTGAAGATGGTTTACTTGCAATATTCTGTGAAGATGGAATTTCTCTTTGGAATTGCCTGTAATGTAGGGATATCCCCTATACAGATCCAGGATCATTACAAAATATACTTCCCCGCATTATTTTGTCCAGATCTATATTTTCATCTCCACTTTTGCATCACCAATTGGTCATTTTACAGTTGTGTACTTAGTTACTAAGCCTTCATTTGGAGGCTGAAGGTGACTTTGTTGTGATAGAGACTAGTATCTAGTTAGCATGTTAACAAAGTAATCTACATTTGAAAAGAAGCAATGTTTGTATCATAACAAGGTCACCCTCAGCCTCACTCCTGTTCAAAGGCATGGCAACCAAGCTGACAACTCTAAAATGGACTATTTGTAATTAATTATTCAGTTATTGAGTCAGTTTAACTGGTCTGCCAGGAGTAAACTTAACTGTTGTGTATGACAGGTATTAACCCTTTCACTCTCAAGATCTCATCAGTAATTCTCCTTACTGTCTGCCATACAATTCTCTTGATGTTGGTTCTGCCAATTTGGTATTGGATCAACCATTGATCCCATAATTGATATTTTTCTCTTTTCTCATCACTTATTTGCTTGATTTTGGATTGATATTGTAAGGAGAAATTCTACCTTGGTCACTAATGGGAGTTTAAAGGTTAACAGTACTTCCATTATTCATTTTTTCATGGAAACAGGTTTTTACTGAAAACTTACTCCATGGCATTTAACACATTTGAGATCCTGAAGAACAAATGCCATAGACTGCTTTTGCACCATGTCAATCAACTGACTCTCAATGAAATCCATGTTGTATTCACTGCCACACTCCAGATTTGCACATCTGCAACATGCACTGCAAAAGGTAAAGAAGGAAAAAAATAAATGGCATTTCTGGGATAAGTGTTGAAAACAGGTTGACAAAATAGTCACTAGTTACTTACGGATTGTTTCCTTCTGCTGCGGTTATGAAGGGATCACGGCAGAGGTCCAGGTCACGGCAAGAGTTACAGGACAAGCAAATCACCTGTTAGGGAAAATATGCAACATTTATATCATGGTGTCAAAGATGATGTTTATAATGTTGCTGCAGAAGAAGCTATTATACCTCTGGAAGGACCAATGATGAACAAGGATCTCTAAACGTTGCCTCTGAAGAAAATTCTCCAACAGCAAGGAGCCTCAGCAGGTCTCGTCTGGGGAAAAACACAGAAAGCAAACAATTGACACCTTATAAATCTAAGAAAAATTTGGGTCAATTTGAGTTCCATTGATTCTAGGCAGCTTCTTAATTTCCCTGAACCATAATTTCACATGATGAAGGGATTCAGAAATTCCATTGGTTTACTTTGAGTTTCTGTTAGTCCCTTCCAGTATTTTCCCTTTTTGACTGGCCTTGTGATAACTTTGGTTTTCATCAAAATTTTCTCTCAAACAAGGGCAAGGACGTTTGTTCTTAATTTTTACCAAAACGGTAATTCATACCTTAACTTGTTCACTTGATGCTGAGTGTTAGAGTCCAATGACAACACCTAAAGAAAAAATAAATAATTTCAATTCTGTTGAGGAAAAAAAAAACTTGGCAAGACTTGATTATGTAAATATGTAGTGGGAGATGTGGTGGCCTAAAAGTTAGGGAGCAAGAGTTCTAGATTTGAGACATGGATAGGTCAATGTGTTTTGTTCTTGGATAAAATACTTTACTCTCACAGTGGTATCTCCACCCAGTAGTATGAACGGGTACAAGAAAATTGTCTGGGAAGCCTGATGAGATGCCTGGGATCACTTTGTGATGGACAATCATTACATCCAGGGAGGGGTACTGATACTCTTGGACTCTTCATGCTAAGAAAACAGGGATATGCTCCTCCTGGGTGGGCTACTTGGTAATAAAGTGATTTAGATAAATGAAGCAGCAGGTCTTACCTTGCAAATGAACTTCACAAACTCCAAAGCAGGATTGTTTAGTGGAAGGTGGGATCCAGGCAGAAGAGGAAATTCTGCACTAGGATCTACATTTGAAGATCTATCACCAGACAATGCATGTTGTATCTTCTGTGTCACACTGAAATAAACAGATATTTATGTAATAATTACAGAATAAGCCTCAAAAAGGTCCCAAGACAGAGAAATACACAGGCTTTTTGAAACAGGGTCAAGGTGTCAAGGCCTTGGTGGCAAATCTACCTCACCCTCCCTTCCCCCCTTCCTCCTGAAATATGTCCATTATCAACTCATTGTGATGAGGCTTGGTAAAGGCACTTCAGGATCACAGTGTGTCTCTCAAATAAGGAGACCAACATTCTACTATTTCATAAAATCGTAGGAAGTCACTGTGAAATGAGTTTCTCATAAATTAATGATAAAGCAATACAATCAGTAGCATACATCTTGTAACTTAAAAGGTTTACTACCAAGAACCATGTCAGAAGGATACTTACTTAAAGAGAGTTTGAGTTAGTTCTCCAGAGATCCTCTCCTGTGCAAATGTTACAAGGCTGGGTGTGGCTGATGTGTCAGCAACTTTCTGTCGGAGAACAGTTAAACAAAAGGCAAAGTGAGGTTTTCCTTATATTTCTTTTATTTATCTTTACCAATACACTGGGCTGAACTAAGATGATTGAGAGCTAAACCTGCAATTGGGAGCTTGTTCTTTTCTTGATTGGAGTACTGCCAGGTTCAATGCGCCTTCTTTCTTCCAAGGAATGGGTGTACATTGCATGAATATGACTAGCAATGATAATCTAGAAAGAAACATCTGTTCAGAAACATTTCAAAGGAGAACATTAAATGGTCTATGGTCTGTGAGGTTTGTTTGTGATTATCTATTGTCAGGTTTGCTCATGTACCTATCAGCATGTATTTTTTTCTACATTGGAAAAGTCACTGACCAATTAAAGCATTTGGAATTTGGTTGCTCCTATTTGGCATTCCTTAAATCACTGTCATACTGACCCACATCCTAGGTGGGTATTTGTGACAAATTCTAGAACATGCTGCAGTCTTACAAAAGGCAAAATGTTAAAAGAAAGCAAAGACTTTGTTTTTGCAAACAATTGTCAACTGATTCTCCAGCACACTGGCTGGGTTTACAAACCAGTTACAGGGGTAGATCTAGGGGAGCTTTTCAGGGAATGATGACAGCTTTCTTATATAATAAGTATTGCAAAAACTTTGTTTATGTCATCCTTTAGCTACATCATTCCTTGATGGTGCTTCCCCTCCTCAAAAAAATCCTGGATCCCCCTCTGAGTTGCATGGTGAGAACATAAACCCACACCCCACAAGCATGGTAAAACACAGCTCCAGGTTTATGAAAATTGGATTACTTACAATAGTGTCTCTGTCTATAGTACCCATGCTCACTGCTTGCAATTACTTAGTAACTCAATTCCTGATACAGACCTGAAAATAGCTCTGACAAGAAGCAGCTGAGGGAAGATACCTCTTCATGTTCCAATTCATTTCCACATTAGGCTGAAAAAAAAGTTCAAAAACATAAGTAAATGAGCAATTCAGTCTTTGCCAATTTACCACACATGAATTTTTCAAAATACCAAAATATGGCTCATATTTTGAATACCTGTTGTAAAATTGTAGTAGGTATAATTCACATGATGCTTTAATGAGTATTCTGTTCCAGAACATTGCTACTTTTTTTAGAATTTATTTTCAATTGGCAATTGCCTGAAATTGCCCTACATCATGGAGCACTTGGGGTAACCAAAAAATTAGACTAACAGCACTTAGAAAGTTGCTGATAGTTAACTGATCTGCAAGGTGAAACTGTCTTAGATAAATTCTTCTCTAAACTTTAAGGTTCAAAACTGCAACTCTATATTGTTCTACTATAGTCCTCAGACAGTAGTAGCTTCAAAAGAAGGCATCTATTGTATAAAGGAAAAGAATTTAAATGTGTGAGCATAAAATAATGGGTGGGTGAATTAGAAGCTTCAACATCCCTTCCTTCTCAAATTCCCTAAACCCCACCCCCTGTGCCCATGCTGGGGGGAGGGAGAGAGTAAGTTTGGAGCTTCAAATTGATTGGCTACTAGGGGAATTTTGAAGGAGGATATAGCAAAAAAATAAAATCAATACAAAAAAAATAATTTCACCATAAAAAAAATAGGTTTTGTTTACTTCATTGTCATCATTAGGAGTGGCCATCAATTCATCAGTACTGTTCTCCAGATCCTCCATGTTTTCCACAACCTCCTCTTCATCAATTTCCTTGGGAAGCTTCCCTCTCACACCACCATGGTTTGCCTGAGAAACAAAATAAAGTTGTTGTGTCTCATGCAAATAACAGCACATATTACCACAGCTTATCTTGGATTATTGCATACAGAATTATTATAACATATACTGCCTGGCAACACTCCAGCATTTTGTACAGTTTCCCAGACAGTTTGCTGGCACTCTTTTTAACTGTTTACACTCTAGCATCAGTATGCATATTCTCCTTACTGTTCTGTAAACATTTCCTAAGGTGCTGACAATGAGAATTTGTTTAACAATCAAAACCTTCTTGAGTCTCTTTTATCCTTGAGACCTTAATGCATGTTTTGGGGGTGATATTGTAAGGAGAATTTAGATGCTAGTCACCCTTTGAGCTAAAAGGGTTTAAGGAATGTGAAAGTCCAATTACCTGATCCATCCACATTAGATACTCCCAGCAAGATTCTGGTTTTATTTCAATACTGTGGAACAAGTCTTTTCTGCGAATACTATTGAGAATGAAATCCACGTATGCCTTGGCATCAGCAACACTGCAGAATAAGAATGAAAATGGCATGCACTTCAGGTTACTATTCAGTGGTAGGTTACATGTTACCAGCCTTGAAACCCATTGCTTCCACAGTATTTAAATTCAATTTGTTAATACTTCCTTATAAATGACCATGTGAATGTTGTGTCTTTTAAATTTTTTACAAATTGTTGGCTACGCCCCTCCACTCAACCAGGACTTTGTCAGGTTTCCAGGACAAATCAACCATACCCACTTAAACTCCAGAGGAAAGAAAGGTATAGCAAGAGGTAACTGTCTAATCCAAGAAGACAAAGCCATCACCCAGCCAGACTTTAACCTGGATTTCAATCTAGAGTTTGCACACACATCTCCTACTTCAATGTTAGGCCAAGATAAACTAGAAGAAGGAACCTGCTTGTAGTACTGTACCTTCTCTTCTTTGTGCAAATGATTATTCTGCTAAGGTTTGCAAACACTATGGTAGAACCAAGACGCTTGAATTCTGCAATAAGCTGATAAAAACAGCAACCACAAATTTTAGAGCATGGAATTAAAATAAAAAGGGAGAGGTCTGGAGATGGCTGGTTTCAAGACTGGAAGACATATCAGGGAGTGGGGAGGGGAACTGATACACAGTGTATTAATTCAGGATTTCTAATCTAATTAGAGAGGACCTTCCATTACTCCTTGAGTACTTCTTTCTTACTGGGGAGTCCTACACACTAGTATTCAGACCACTTCATAAAGCAAAGTGGGAAGGTACAAAAGAGGATGGTGCCAGATATCATGGTAACTGTTTGTCTTCTGAAAAAGTGTTAGTTATGAACTGAAGGGGGGGGGGGGAAGGTTTACAAACCTGCATGTATAACTTCTTCATCATTCTTTGCACCATTCTACACAAAGCTGGATCATAAAGAAGAGCTGAAGGTGACGCCAACCACCTGAGTAAGAGAATAGAATGCAAGTTATTGCAAATGGATTAAATTGAAACAAAGCAAACCCAGAAAAAAAGTTTGAAAAGTAACGAGGCAAGGCAAAAGGTAATGTAACCACTCTCAAGATTAATGACTCTAGAACACTAGAGGTTATGTCACCTCATCTAGTTTCCAGTAAAGTGGTACCTGTTTCTCTTACCAAATTGGATACTAGCTGTTTAAAGGGGCACCCTCTTCCTCCCACCCCTATGCAGGTAGTCAGGTTTTCTGACTGGGAGAGAGGCACTATGACCACAATGCAATTGCTGTGCCAAGTACTCAAACCCAGACCTTTATCTTATATGCAGGATGTTAACCATTAACCCTTTACACCCTAAGATCAATAGCCACATTCTCCATACTTTTCTCTATACATTTCCTGAGGTGCTGACTAGTAGAATTTGCTCCACAATCAAGAGCACCTTTAGTTTGCGATCATTTCCCTCATTCTTGTAACCTCAAAGTTTGATTCAGAGGTGATACTGTAAGGAGAAACCAGATGCCAGTCACTCTTATGGGTCAAATGATCAAGATGCCCCATTTTCCACAGCAAGGTTGTCAGCTTAAACCACAAAAATCAGCAGCCTCCTACAATTGAGCAGTTTGCTTTATTATTGTATACTGTGTCTTCTTTCCCATAACCATACCTGTAAAAATGCATCAACTGCGCATCTGCATTAAGATTTCCATAGGTAGATACTTCATGCAACCAGCTGTGAACCATACCCTTGAGGATTCTGCAACAAACAACATGCCTTGGTCGATTAGGGATGTAGCCTAATTTCTCTCTTTGTAATTTTACTATAGAACTTTTGAAAGAATTGGTTACTTACTAATTCTACAACAAAGAATGTGCCTCACTTTGTCAGGTGGTTATTACTGGAAGTATGAACATTAGGGGACGATATAACCACTCATCACCATGAGGTGACGACTGCAACCATGAAGCATAAATTAGGGCAACACAGTTGCCTGGTTCTTAAAAATTTGGATTAAACCAAAGAGGTTTTAAGTCTGTTCTTATTCAATGGTTATGCGCAACAGCTTGTGGTATTGCTTTCAGTGAAATTGTATTACCTGCACTATTATTATGTCACGTGGTTGTTACTAACCTAAAAGCACTGGAGCACAGAGCAGCTTCATCATAGGTTGTCAAACTGGAGGCTGCACTAGACCCTCCTTGTACTAGCTCTTCCAAAGAAGCCTACAATCAAAAACCAAAGTTATTGGTTGTTCCTGAGGGTTACTCTCCTATGCAGCTATAAAGATAAGAGCTACTCCATGGGGGTGGTTTTTGAGCTTTGTTTGTTTGCAATTGGGAGTAGTTTTTTACCACAGTGGTCTTAAATCTGGTTTAATTATTAAGGGATCTACAGGTCTTTTACATCTTTTCTGTGCTGGTTAGTAGGGGATATCACCCACACACTTCTTGCAAAGAGTAGGAAACATCTAGCTCTTGCTGTTTTGTCCTAGCCTTGTTTCTGAAAATTCCAAAAATTGGGGGCAAAATTGTAGACTGCTCAAAGCAGACTGCCCAAGGTCTCCTGCAAAGTGTCGTAAAGTGCACTAGAGACATGGAGATTGCACAATATAAATGCATCATTTTCACTACCGGTCAAGAGAAAAAGAGAAATTATTTTAATCATAGTAGAGTATTGTCACCTGTGGCATACTGTCAAAGCTGATTCCAGTTGCAGAGCCTCCTTCAAAGTCATTGATGTGTGCAGACTAAAAACAATCATGACAAAAGACCAATTCTGTTAACTTTAACTCTTTGACTTGATGAACACACCTTTTCCCTATAATTTACATAAATTGTCCAATAAACAGGTAATGAGAATACTCAAACTCATCAGGTAGTTGTTACCTTGATCTAACACCCAATTCTCATAAATACTTTGAAGGAAAATTTGTAGGAGCTCAGATGAGAATTAAGAATAAGATACTGGGAGTTAAAGCAATGGTGCCATCAAGAATAGTTGACCAAGTAAAAATATTTAAAAAAAAACAACAGCATTGGATACATGCATATTGCTACCTTTGCTAGAAAACAACTCAAGACTTACATGTAAAATGATGTTGCTATTGATTGAAGTTACCACTCAAAGCTTTAACAGCCCCCTTCAACTAACTCCTGAATAGCAGCAGTGAGGGCAAGCTTGAATGTATATTTTGTCGACATTTACCTGCAATACTGTGTTCACTGCAAAACAGTCAATTGAGAGCTCCACACAAACTGTGGGATAACACCCTGGGCTATTCACTTCAATGTTTCCTCCTTCTTCAGAAACAACACTTAGTCTATTGATTGAAAAATGAAAAACAATTAACATAAAATTATTGAAAATAATAAGCAGAATGACAACATTACATGTATAGGGTTCTCAATAGAAGGAAGGCAATACTGATGGCTTAAGAGCTGATCAGAATTTAATGTACATTCTTAAAAATATTACAGTGTTATGAGAGTGACCACAGCCAAGTTGACAGACCTGTTATCATCATCCTCCTTGCCGCCCAGATCAGGTCTGTCAGTTGGTGACATCCACAACAAGTGATTGTGTTTCTGAAGGTGACGAGCATAGAAGAGGTCTGCAGCAAACAGAGTTGGGTCTGATGGGACATTTCCCACTGGGACATGAAAGTATTGAGCTAGTTCAAGCTGAGCCTGGTGGTAAGATTGAAATGGATTCAGGGACAAGTCTTTGTTTATCACCTGCAGGAGGGGGGGGGGGTGGTGTTTGGAGGATTTTGGTTGTGTCACTATAAAATTGATTTGATCCCACGTGTCAAGACCCTGTTAAATTCTAATGATTGTAAGTTCACTGACAGTCAATCTTCTATAGTCCACAATTTATACTCTGTTGACAATGACTGATTACCTCTCTATTCCCCCCTGGGAAACCATGTGATACTTTCAGAATCCTCTTTTCCCCCTCCCCAAAGTAATAAACAATGAATGATCCCTTGGCACTTGAAGAAATCAAAGATGAAACAGTAAAATTACTCCAACTTACATTTAATCAAGTCAATTTCTCCTAACCCTTTTGTGTTTATTAGAAGTTAACTCCTTAAATATTTACAAAACTTCAGAAATAGATTATGGTCCTGGAAATTAATATGCCCCTTGGAGGTTAATCAGAGTATTTACATAAACTGATGAAGCTGATGCTAATGAGCTCACTCATATCTTTTACACAATTTAAATAAATTTCATTCATGGAAATAATGATGTATGCATGTATCATTCTATTCTGGAAGCCCTAAACAGTTTTCCTCTCTATATCCATCTAAGTTCTGAATGAAATGATTACCGGTACTCACTGTTGTACCACTGAAATAGTCATTAACTAGTGGAATGATTGCATTTGTTATGGGGTTATATCCAAGAATCATGCCTGACCTGGAAAAACAATTCCACCTCAAGGAAATGCTGTACCATCCTTCTTGCAGCATGTCGCTGCCAGTCAAGAACATTGTGCTGTGCATTGCTGTCAAATAAAATAAACAGTCAGTCACACACCTTGACACATGCAGCTCATCCTAGTTTGAGAAGGAAACAGGCAGTATGGTTATACCCTGTGGATGAAATGCATGTTAGTCCCCTCCCCTCTGAAGTGTTTCATCAGGTTGTCCTGACAGACCTGGCTGAGTGGTTTGGATGAGCGGATAAGTCAGTTACAACACCTGTATACTATTTTAAATGCTAGGAAACAAGAAATAATGAGAAAACTACAGACACAGCAAATGCACATTGTTTTACAAGTGTGTGTCCTTTTCTTTTTAACCTGAAATATTTTGTACCTAAATCACCCCATACAACTGATACCTCACTTTTGTAAAACATGAGGAGCCTGTAGCTCAAATAATTAAGCCTCTTGGTTTCCCTAAGGGTTGCCTCACTTCATGCTAACTCTTCAGTTATATCATACTGATGTATATGTAATTCCTTTTTTTATTTATACTAATGTATCATAATTAAAAAATGGCAAAAAAAAAATATATTGATCCGGAAACTCTTCTCAGTGGCCAATTTACATTTTCAACTCAGTCAATAAAACCAAATTATCCTGTTCAATTTGAAGTCCATGGGCTGGTTGTTTGAAATGCATTTGATGTTAATCCAAGATAAACCTTCAAAATTGTTTTAGAGTTAATTTTTCATGGGGATTTGACATGGTGTTTCTGGAGTCTTAAGTAATCAAAATAGAACAGTCAGCCTATGTGAATATATAAGGACATGAAATGAAGATTCTTTCCTGGTTAATCATGTTTACAACATCCTAGTTTTATGCCCTAACAATTACTGACCATTGATCCCCAGAAAGCAAAACAAAAATTTGAGGCATGCAGAGTAAATACTTCTGTATTTATTACATTACCTGTCACTGTATGGAAGACACACAAGAGGAAACTCTTGAAGACTAGGAATAGATGATGTAAGATGACTGAGGTCTACAACAGAACAAAATGAAATGTTTTTCCAGGTCAGCCCGCAATATGCTTTCATTTTCAGCAGGAAATTCCTCCTGATTTAGATCAACATAATTAGCACCAGAATATAAAATTTTCATCTAGTGTACTTTCATATAATACACTGAAACACACAAGCACTTTGATTGGTTCTAACTTATGATCTAATGAAGGACAGACCCATAGATGATGTTACCATTAACAATATTTTGCTTTCATATTATAATCATAAAACAAATAGATTCCATGGAGCTGTGGCTAACAACTGTGAATAACAAGAAGTATCATACCCCAAGGTGACTGCACCAAAATCATTGTGGGTCCTCTCTTCTCCTCTTTGTAGGTCATAAGAAATCTTTGAATTGCCCTGTAGGTCTGTAAAGATACCAGGTATTACAAACCCAAATTTAAAAGAACTATGAAGAAAAATAGACCATGCTTTTATAAAAATACTTGCTCTTACTGGGTTAAATATTTGGCAAGCTGGATTGCCTCACCTAAATTAAACTGGTTGTTACCATATTAAGAACTTTTTCCCAGGCAAAATTCCAGACAATTCAGAATCAATCTTTAAATAATCTAAGGTGCTTAGGTACTTTGTACCTGTCTAGAGTCAGTATCAACTCTGACATCAAATGTAAGATTGTCTGGAGGATAAATACTTTCATCTCCTTGATCCCTTTCAAGCCTGCAAATAAAATATCCATAAAATTTAATCTTGTGTCCTCTTAACAATTTGCTTTAGATTGACAAAACTTTAATTGCTTTGAGCAGTTATCTATCAAGTCTTATTGAGCCAAACTGCATTTAAATGGTATACACTTTATGGCCAAATGCCATGTAGACAACAAAATGGCATTCAGCTATGAAGTATATACCATTTAAATTACCCAGCTTAATCATCTCATTCTGGGGTTGGCAACATGAAGACTCATGAAGACTCATATGTTAATTCTGCCCTGAAATTAAAGTTTTAACCCTTCACACCCTGAAATCAGTATGCATATTCTCCATACTGTTCTCTACATGTTTCCTAAGTTGCTGACAAGGAGAACTTGTTTCACAATCAAGAGCTTCTTTAGTTGGTGATCATTTCCTTAATTCTCATTACCTTAATGTTTGATTCAGGGGTGATACTGTGGGGAGAAAGTAGATGCCAGTCACTTTTAGGGGTTAAAGGGTTAAAAAATGAAATTTTGTCTTAGATAAGGATAAGAATAAAAATAACAATTTCTTCTTTAGTATTTCTACAAAAAAGAAGGTCAGGAGCACCTCTTCTCCTTTGTTACATATATTTCCTCCTTCATTTCAATCATTATCTAACTGCAATCTTAAGATACCTTGCATTTCTTTCTGCTTGGTACAAAGAAGACAAGTTTGGCATCTGGTTATTTCTCACCAAATCTAAAACAAACACAGAAGCCTGAAAAACAAGAGTTGGCTTTTAGAGATTTTTTATATCAAAGAGACCTAAAGAAAATAGTTTTTCATCTCTACAAGTTAACCCTTTCCACCCTTACATCTGCATGCATATTCTCCCTACTGTTCTCTAAACATTTCCTTAGGTGCTGACAAGGAGAATTTGTTTAACAATCAAAAGCTTCTTTAGTTGGTGATCATTTCCTTTATTCCCATGACCTTAATGTTTGATTTGGGAGTGATATTGTAAGGAGAAATTGAATTTCAGTCACTCTTTTGGGTCAAAAGGTAAGTAAAACATTGATTGTATCTCAAAAATGATCCTTTTCACATCCTGACAACAATAATTTCAAGAGTTTTCACACAGTTACTGAGCAAGCAATCCATGCAGTCTTTGCAACTTCCACTAAAAGGACTCACAGTGAAAACAAGCATTGATACCAAACTTATAGTCCACAAAAAAATTTTACTGATTTGCTGGTGCATTAAATCATACCTTGTGTAAAGCTGGAATGAAGACTGCAAATATGACTCGATTGTCTCTATAAGAGAAAGATACAAATTAATTTTATTTGCTAAAGCTCACCATAATGATACTCATAATAAAAATAACTGTATTTCAAGCAGATTTGTCATTCAAAATATTACATGTACATCTGGAATGAAATTCTCCCTGGCATAAAGACAAACTGATAAAATTCACAAGTGCCAATTGAACTAGCAAAGGAGTGTGTCACAAACCAGAAAAGAATTTCTTGCTTCCCATATGACACGAACGGAAGAACAGAAACATTAAGGTAGTAATGAAATCATTCTTACGAAGAGCTGTGGTAGAAATAGATTTTCTTCAGATTCACATTTTCCATGTAGGAACACTCAGCAAGAGTCTTGAATTCCAGTTGGTCCAGCTCAAATGTATCCAGATCCTGAAAGACAGATAATTCATAATTGTGAGGGGTTTACAGTTATGTTCAAGAATATTGACTTCTTACTAAGGTAGTGGTAGTACAGACCCTGCTGTGCTGGGTCTGTACAAAAGCAACTTAAGGCCAATATTATTCAGTATGGCTGCAGCTTAGACACTTACTGTAGACTGACCTTGTTTTGTTGTTGTTGTTAATGTTTGACCTATGACCCTTTTTGTGAAGATGGTCTGTATGCCAATATCCCAAACCAATTTGCATGTTTGGATTTACCTCACAACTACTTTGCCATATAATAATCTAGAATATTCTGCCAGCACTATTCACCTCCATTTGGTGAATAATACTAACCATTCCATTAAACAGCCTTGCAAAGATCTTGTTCACTTTACAGACACATCCAAGTTTAATTATTGCTCTTATCAGCAAGGGAACCTAAAAATTAAGTGATCAACATAAAATAAGTTCACAGATTGACAATAAAGCACATAATGTATGTCAATTGTTAACAAGTTAGGGTTAATGTTGGGTTAGGGAAGGGGTGTGTGCCCAGTTGCTCTGATAAAATCAACCCTCAGACTGGTGAACCAAAAACAGCCAATCCCTTGAGAAATAAGGGAGCACAGGGAATTCAGAGCAAATGATGCCAAGCGGATGCCAAGCAAACCAATGACACTATGAGCTGCTGGATCAATAGTCTAGCTGTATTAAAAAAATGCAACAAGCAAAAATTGTCCATTCAAACCTGTGATTCATAAATTCCTTCAATGTCAGGGGATGATAAATCTGTGGCCAGTTCACTAAAAAAATAATTAAAAAATAAAAAACATCAACACACCGATGTAACTGAATACTGATAAGTTCCATGATCAGGGTATCAATGGCAAAGTTCAACACTCAGACTTACTGGAACATTTTGTTTTCTTGGAGGAACACTTTCAAGTCAGTTTACCTACCTTGAATGATCTCTAAAAATTTTTTCAGGAACAGTGTACTCGTAGAGGTTAAGCACTGGATGAGAGTGTGGCAATGTCCGGGAAACTTTCCTCCATGCTGAAAGGATGTACATATAAACTTTTTCATTGGCAAAAGTTCCAGTAATTTTATAAAGGTTTATATAGCCTAGCTTTTGTGTGCTGAACCCTGGGACGAGAGATACAGGTTCGCCACCTGACTGGATTATAATGCTTTGTTCTTAGGCACTTTAATCCCACAATGCTTTTCTCTAACTAAAGTATAATTGGGCTTTGGTACGCCTTCAAGAAAGTTTGTTGAAATGCTAAGGTATGAAGGTTACCTAAGATGGACTGGCATTCCATCCAGGGGAAGAAGCAATTTGCTGATTATAATAATAACTTCATGCTACTTTTTCCTTTACCTTAGTTCTTCTTGCACCAATTTCAGGATGAATTAGAATTTGGAATGATGGTTTTAAAGGAGGGAGTTACAAGTAAATCAGAAATCCAAGCAAAAAACTACTTGAACACCGAGAACCCACCAAAAACTCAACCCACATATCATACCAGGTGTGGGTAGCTTATCTGAGCCACTACAGAGGGAGGCAAGTGCTGTGTGGCACAGAATGGCCATAGCTTGTTGTAGCTTTTTTCATCAAATCCAGTTGTGCATCATTCACTAACACCACTGTAATGTCCCAGCTACTTTAGATTAAGATAGGAAATTTAAAGTAACATCTTTATCTATACACGTAAAGTCCACATTGTTGGTGATACTGTCTTGTTGCTGTTATTGTTGAAGCCATAAGAAAGTTGTGTGAGGAATGAAATACACTGAACTTACTTGTCCCAGCTCCTTCTTTTGGGGTGTGGCAATTTACATAAAAAATCCTCGGCACATTAACTTTGATTGTATGGAGGTCTGTACCTACTACAGCCCAAACCTTGAATGTCCCTGGATCATTAGTTTCAGCCAACTAAAATATAGAATAAAACAAAAGCACTTCAGTTACTGCTTATTCAAGCTACAGTAGATCCATTAGGTAAATGTAAAACGGAAAAAGGACTAAAACAATATTTTCATCTTGAGATGTCAAACACAAACCCTCACCTGTATTATTTGCCAAGGAGTATCTACAAGAGACCTAGCTTGCTGTCTCATAAAAGTTGACAGCCCAGTGGATGGGCCACGCCCAACAGCCAGTGTGCTCATACCCATAGAATCAGCTTCCTTACGCAGACGTTTCCTCTCAGCACGTTGCTTGGCCTGGAATTCCCATTTTTTCTTTTGAAATTGCACCCATTTCTCCTTATCTTCCTAAAAATATGTATTGATCAAATCACATCATAAGCTGAATCAGAAGAGAAAGTGATGTAATATAATACAAGCTCACCTAATTTACACCTAGTTTGCAGCACCGAGTGGTTTTGAGTGGTTTCAAACAAGTGAAAGTGGTTTTCAACAAATGAAAATCAGATCAATGACTTGATCAATCAGTCAAGCTTAATTGTTCAAAAAACAAATCATTCATAATTAATCAAAAATAATCAGACTTGACATTTGCAATGCACACTGATTACTATGTTTTTGTCTGACATAAAATCAGAGCTGAGGGGCACAGAACCTACAGTACACTGAGCTACACACCTGACACTTTAAGACAAACTGTCCTTAGTTCTGCTGAACTACTGGTAACTAGAAAAGATTTAATAAGTTGCCCAAAATTATGACCCTGAGTGACTTTTAATGAATTACCAAATTCTTCATGCATTTCTCAAGGAATGGATAACTTTATAGAAGAACTTAGCAATCCATCAAAAGTTGCTTGGGACTTTTTTTCCATGCTATCCCTCAGGTGCAAGTTTGAGTAGTTCACCTTGTTCGGTCCCCATTGTGGAGGTTCTCCTAAAACTTCTTTCCATGTTTGTGACAATGGTCCCTCAGTTTGCTGCGAGGAATTTTGATTTGCAATGTTGGAAAAACTACTGCCAAGAGTCATTTGTCCATGCTTCCTCTTGGTGGCCACAGGTATACCAGTTGGTGATTTTCCTTTCCCAGCTATATCCTCTATGTCCAAGGATTGGCTAGTGGGAGGACTGTGATTCTCTTGATTGGAGATGTCATCCTGTAGCTAAATGGAAATCAAAGGAGAGCAAATATTTCTTAAGTCTTGTGACCAGTTTATTAAGGAAAGAGAGTGTGTAATATATCAACCAAGTTACAGATCCAAAGAATTCTGAGGTTCCATCCCTCAAAAGGACTCAAATTTTTTTTCTTTGTCTCACACTTGAGACAAGGCAAAAAAACACACCTTTCATTATTTCATTACTAAAAATTAACTATCTTTCCTGCTCCTTTGACAAATCATGCACAGGATTGCACACAATTGATAGCCATTGCTGAAATATTGTTTAAATATCTGTTGATGGTCAATCAGTTGGTTAACTGATGTTGGCCAGTACAGTTTTTAAATCAATCAACCATGAACACAGGGATTGTCATTCAACACATGATCCACCCACTGGTTGTAGTCTTCTTTATTTTATGTTGTTTGCTCTTTCTTTCATTTGTTAAAAAAAGGATAAAATTTCCACCTTCTTCTTTGGAAGTGGTGCAAACATGGCATTGATCTTCTGTTGTTTAAAAACATCATTTCTTTCTAATAGTCTTTTGTGCAGCCAGTCTGGATGGGAGCAACGAGGAACAGGGTTGCTGACCTAAACAAAGGTAAAAAGTGAGAATATTGTACTTTAACAATAATTTAATTGAAGAATCCCCAATGATCATTTGAGAGAAACCCTCTTTCAATGTATTTACCATACAAAACAAAATTGTCTTTTATTTCTCATTTATTCTTGAAAATGTAACAAAAAGTGAAAAGTAGAAAGGAAAACCTCATCAGATTAATTATATGATGGGTCAATTGTGTTAACTCATGATAAGGAATGGTTACTGTATGAGATTGTAGAGGGACTGTTTGTTGCAAGCTATATAAAAGTTGTTGAAAATATTTGGCAGCTAAAAGAAATCCTCATTTTTAAGAAGAAAGTGAAGCAGATTTTAAATCATACAGCTTACATCCATAAATTTTTTGCAAAACCATGCTTTAACCCTTTAACTTTGGTGAGAGACCAAGATAGAATTCCACCTTACTACATCTGTACAATATCATGCAGACAAGTGATGAGAATAAAGAAAAATATCAATTACAGGATTACTAATTGATGCGATACCAAATTCTCCAAACTAACATAATGAGAATCATTTGGCAGACAGTAAGGAGAATTACTAATGAGATCTTGGGAGTTAAAGGGTTCACAAAAATGTTAATGAAAATGAATACTTCTGAAGATTAGTCAGGCTACATTGATAGGCAATGTTGATTTGCTGATTACCACCTCAAAGTTAAAATAATTTTGCCCTTGAAGTAGAAGCAAATAATTTTTCCTCTTGCCTGAGCCAAAATTCAGAGAAACAATAATTATCCTTTCAAATTTACCAGCAGGTCATGACCATTATCAAGTTAAAGGTAACATCATCACATATTTAAACAATTGTGAAAACTTAGTCATACCCCTTGCAGTGCAGCTGGGATGGTGATGATCTTCTGAATACAACTGTTAAGCCGCTCAATGTAATACTGCCAATCTAAGATATCTCTGATGTCAAAACTGCTCATGGAAGCATCCTTCAGCCAACGTCGTAGATAATGTTTCTTCACACCATCCTCTGTTTGAAAGATTGCCAAGGGTATGGCTCTCTCAGTCACTGGTGATCCTTCTGGCTTTCTTGAAATAATAAACCGGCAGCTGAGACCTTTGTCTTTGACCATCTGATCACCAAGAAATTCCGACAGTCTCTTCGCTGTACTGATTGAGGTTGATTTCTGTCCTTCATAATCTTCAAGCTTTCTAGACATGCTGCGGTTCTCACAGATTAGTTCGAAGAGTTCACTGTCAGGCATATTTGTTGCCTTAAAGAAGAAAATTAGCATGGGTACTGAGTTGATAAATCTCTGGGTAGCAGGGTTAAAATCTTCAATTCTGTACTGCCACAGCCAAGAGCTTTAAAAACATAATTAACTACATAGACTCCTAAAAGGATTGGGAGAGAGAGAAAAATTTTAACATTTATCAATAATTTATATCAACAGTTCAGCCTATGATGGACACTTTAAGCTTAAGTAATTTACATGAATTCACCTCACATACAAAGACATTAAGCAAATTAGCTCGAACATTGTATTAATATTGTGAAGAGAATTTCATTTTTTTTGCAGGAATAATGGGGTTACCACACCTTGCTGTAGAGAACATCAAGCCAGTAGTTTGCAACTTGGGCCACAGCAGCATAAACTTCTTCTAGAGTTTTCCCTTGAAGGAAAGCCTCAAAAACAGAGGACTGGAAAATCTTGACCAGTTGTAATTCACCACGTCGCTTAACTTCAAATCCTTTCAATTCTGCCAAGGAGCCATCATCATTGAACACTGCATATCTGATAGGAAATAATTGTGTAACCATTTTAATTAAAAATGAATGTATATACAGATCAAAATACACATAATAAGTGTTTAATCAAGGGTACAAGTTGGAAGAGTAGTGCCACTATATCAACATCTTCAGCTGCAAATATTGTAAGTATCACTCGCAAAATGATGGTAATTTTAATCCTTTACTCCCTAATATCAGTGGGGAAATTCTCCATACATTTCCTTCATTAGGAGAAGAATAATTGGGAGAATTTGTTTAACAATCAAGGGATTTTATAAGGTGGTGATCATTACCTTTCTTCTTGTGACCTTTATGTGTGATTCATGGGTGATATTGTAAGGAGAAATTGGATGTTAGTCACTTAAAAGGGTCAAAAGGTCAACCTGGCAAAGTTCTGCAAGATGATCATTTTAGTAGTACAGTATCTAGTATTCTTCAGTTTTCAAAACAGATGCAATGCAACACCAACTGACAGTTTCAATCTGGTATTCTCCAGGGTACACAAGAAATGCAGTACAACACTAATTCACACTTTTACCTTTTTTTTAATTTCTTTCCTTCTTCTTTTGAGGCAGGAAGAATCATTGCTTTATAGGGACCATCAACCTGACAATAAAGAAATTATATCAATTTCAGTTCCCTTTCCTATTATCAATGAAATGTAATTCTCCCAGTCTAAACTATCATACAAACTGCTGCATGATTGAGAGGGGTTAACTTACAATTTTCTACAAAACAGATGAGTCAAATTTTGTAAACAATCAGATAAGTGATGAGAATAAAGAAAAATATAAATTTGAGAACAATCTGTTGTATAGTTGACAGTAAGGAGAATTACAAATTTGAACTGGGAGTTAAAGGGTTAAATTTCAAACACTTTCTCTTTTAAAGATTGTAAATATCACAACTACAACATTTATAAGCTTAGGAAAATGCATTCGATAGCATTTAGTTCTCATACTGTGCAGAGGTGTACCTCAAAAAAGATTGAGTTTTCACTTCTTGTTTCGTAGGTCAGATTCTCTGCATCTGTAAGTTCATGGTACTGATCGTTGGTGTAGTGGTTCTGAAAAGAAAAAATGGCAAGGTAACAAAATCTTTTAAGCACTACAAGTTTGAACAGCAATTTATCTCATCTCTTTACAAATGAATCAAGATCAACATTCTAAATACCTTAACCATGATGTTCAACATAGCTCCAGGGTATGAAATTGCCACTTTACTCTTCTTTGGGTTAGTTGTAGTTATCTGCAAGTCAAATATTTCATCAGTTATTTCTCAGTTAATGTGTAAACTGTGATTGGTCAATTTGGTGGGTCATATTCTCTTGGTCAAGTTAAAAAAAAAATTAAGCCAATAAATAACTCTTTACCTGGAAGTTTTCAGGGAAACTTGCTGGCAGAACACACCAGATTCCGTCAGTGTCTAGTTCTAGAGGACGTCTGATAAACAGAAGCCACTAATGAATTAGTAATCAATAAAGGATGCCTTTTTGAATATCTTAACATTAAATTTTGAGTGCACAGTAAAATTTAATGGTTACATTTTTTCTTTTAGCTGCTGTCTTAGAGAATTAGATACATTGTGACCATGTACTGAGCTAGATACAATGGTCAGATTTTAAGGCCTTGCTATAAAACAGTCTGTCTTTTTTCTACAACAAAGAGGTCACAGTAATTTGTTTTAAGAGTTATCTAACTGCATGAGCTCACCCAATTTGTTCCACAATTTCTCTAGCTTGTCTGATAATATTGGCGCCAGTGTGACAAACAATGCCAGCCATCTCCATTGAATACCATCGAGCCCTGAAAACAACAGGTAATGCGAGAGTTACTGGTAGAGGAAAAAATTGACAAATATTTTATGAGGGCAAGATTTGATGATAGTTCTTGAGGAGGAAGTAAGATTCAATTATAACTCAATGAAGTAATCATCCATTTTGTTGTGCTATAGTTGCCAAGCCTTTGATTTATGGTGAGGCTGAAGGTGACCTTGTTGTGATTGAGACCAGCATCTAGTTAGCATGATAACAAAGTAACTTACATTTGAAAAGCAGAAAGGTTTGTATCATAACAAGGTTTTATCATTCCTGTTCAAATAAAACCACACTGTAAAATGGACTATTGTTTCTGTATACATTGGGCAGTCCTTCAAAACATAAAAACAAGATAGCCCTAGACAGAATAGAATAGTAAGATAGCCGATCAGATTGTAGCATGTTTCAATACAAGGCTAGTACACGAAGATTTCTACTAGAAATAAATAGCTATATTTAGGGCAATTATTTGAAATTCAAGCTAAAAGGAGGGGCACTTACTGGAAGGAGAGCTCTTAAATAGAAAAAAAACACTGCAACATTATCCATGAAACATAAAATCTGTATGGAGATAGAAATAACTTTTCTCACCCTTTCCTCATGACATAACCATAAAAAGAATTCAAGATACATTTGTGGGCCAGCTGAAGAGAATCGTACAAAACCTCTTTGCTTTTACAACTGAAAAATGAGGGAAAATAACCATGATATCCTTAAAATCAATAATACCAGTTAAAATCAAAGGGGATGTTTGTAGTAAGATAACTGTATTTTTGAAACATCAACTATACCCCAAAGTAGAGAGTCATCTATTGTCAGTCAAACCTATCAACAACAGTTCTTCTCAGACAATTAGACTGTACAATCACATGTTATTCCCCCCCCAAAAAAGGTTCAAACCATGATCTGTCTAACAAATTTGTCTTGAAAAATTACCACTGTCTTCATTTCTTTCAGTTCATTGTCAAAAGTTAATGGATTTACATGTAGCTAGCTGTAGGGAGTCTTTGCATTCAAGATTTCCACACCTTTAAGAAAATTTCATTACCTTTTGATTTCTTCAGGATCACCACTTTGCATGGCAGCACCAAGTTTTCGTTTCCAAGCCTTTGAAGAAAACAATGTATTGCGTCCATTGTTTGATTCAGAGGGAAAGCTTATGTTTAAACCCATGTGATTCTTAGTCATCCTTTCACTCCCAGAAGTGAACAAAAAAAGAAATTTCTCCTTACATTATCAATGTATTCTTGTATCAGAGAGAGAGAAAATCAACTTCCAGACATTGATATTTCAGAACTAAAATCATGTCAGATGTACACAGGAGACAGTGCAGAAAATATGTATTTTGATCTTAAGAGTGAAAGGGCAAGAGTAACCCAAGCTGTGAACAACTAAAATCATTCATTGTGATCTGTAAAAATCATTATAAAAATTTGTCCTATTCATCAAGATTCCACTTGTTATTGGAGGTGTGGGTCGGTATCACACTCCTGACACCATGTGATGTTACTGGACCACAAAACAGACAGTTTACAGCAAGGTAATTTAGCATTATCAACTCAGTTGAAAATGTAAATTTGCAAGCATTAGCCCTTTGTCATTTGCTCTGACTACTGGCTCAGGCTACTGGGAAATATCATTTCTTCACACAACAATCACTGCCTTAATTAAGACTTGACGGATACTGTACAAGAGTAATAGATATCAGAAAAGAATCAAACTGTTGTGGTGAACTATTGTGATCTCTCAGGGTTATTAATTTACCTTAAGAAGCCCTTTGAATTCATAACGCCTGTCACGGAAAGCTCGCACAGTGTCCACGTAAAAAGAATTCTCTCGTTGGCAAATCATGGTATTTCTGATTTCTTGCTTGCTTACACGCACTCTCTTGTAAGCTTTGTGGCAGTAATCTGAAAACAGACATGGAACAAGTTAGGAAAGAACTTACATTAACCATAAAAAACATGAAATGGCTGACATCAGCATTGACTCAAAGCCTGATCTCGAACACTAATCAGTTCCCCACTCAATCAAGATTTAAATGCACAAACCCTTTTCATACCACTAAATCTTGATCCTAAAATGACATCACTTTTATTGGCACTGCACATCTTACCTTGCAATCTCTTTTTTTCCATCTGAGCTTGTTCAGCAAGGGTTAGAGAATGGAAAGATCTTGTGGGATCACCTGGATTAACACCAGGAATCTTTTCTACTTCAAGCTGCTGTTTGATGGTTTGATATTCATTACGAGTTGCTGGCACTGATAGGAAAAAATTCACATGTAAGGAGTTAGAGAAATGAAGTTTTCAAAAGAAAAAAGCCACCCAAGTGAGTGGGTGTGGTTTTGGTCAAAGAGTGTAGTCTAGTTTGATTTATTGGGTGGGCTTCCTGTGGAAAAGCCCAAGTCTAAAATTATTTTGTGGTTGTATCTTCTTACAACTGATCTCTGGGTATCAGCCTTTCATGATCTGTTCTCAGACCTTTTGTGTAGTACTATGCAGTGCCTTTTTTAGGCCTCTTTTTGAAATCTCCTTTTTTCCTATGTACTGAATTTTTCTTCAATTCATCTCCTCTGATGTATTTTAATTTTGTTTTCAGAATGTATTATTTGCAAATGTGTGTGACTACAGGTTTCCTTTTTTTAATGATTTAAATTAAAGATATGCTGTAGAAAATTCCACAAATTTTATTTTGGGGGGAAAAGCACATGATCACTCTTGTGTACTAAAGTGGATCCACCCTTACCAAACTGAGTGATATGGGACATATATGACCCATATATGGGTCTGATGTGGGAAAATCTATGGGCCATATATGGATTTCATAGGGTTTTGATATGGGACACTACGCACCATATGTTGCCATATACTGCCTCTCTATTGTCTTTTTTATGGGAAAGATATGTATTTCATAAAAATCCAGCTGCAAATGTTGACATGACTCTAGCTTTTCTCATGTTTCACATCAGATTATAAACAACTTAGATTTGTCAGACATAGGAAAAGTGAGCAAAGGGGCAAAGGTAGGGCAGTAATTGGTTAGTGGATAAAAACCGGGAAAAACCTCTTTTTCTGAAATAAAAATTAACTTCTTACTAAAATCGCCTCTCCAAGTCCAGTTCATGACTCGCTGGCATTTTGCTCCTGGTTTGTTGAAGTCACATGCAGCACAAGTTGCCTCATCAACCATAGCAGATGGCTACAATAGTGCAACAAGAACAATAAAAACATTATCATAAGCAGAGCAGGGGTGAGAAAATTGTTGTGGAAACATTGTACTACAAAATATCATGTCTTCTTCAAATGACATTCAGGGGCAAATTTTTACAGGTTTTGACAACAATGCATGACCCTTCAACCTGGTTTTTAAAAGTTGTTACCTGGAGTCTGTTGGTAAGGATAATGTTAGGGTACATGGCACCCACATCAAGATGATAGATCAAAGGGTTCTCCAGTCTTGCAGGTGTGTCTCGCAAACTTGCCAACTTGTCTTTGATCTCGGAACAAACCTTTCAGGACCAAAAAATCAAACAATGATACTATATCTAAATATTGATACTGTATCTAAATATCATTTAGTGATCATCTACTTTACTCTCATGACCATACTGTTTGATTCAGGGGTGATATTGCATGCTTCTTTTGTTAGTGATCATTTCCTTTATTCTGATGATTGTAAGTATATTGTAGGGAGAACTTAGATCCTAATCACTCAAGGATCAAAGGGTTAAATGAAAGCAAAAAGGAAGCTGGGGTATCTTAAAGGCACAATAACAACCAGGGCCCTGTCATCCTAATGATGGAGACAACAGCCGACTGCTACGAGCTGCGTAATGCAGTTTAATCGGATCATGTGTACTCAAGGTATCTGTCAGCCGAGTATTGACCGATACTATCATTTGAAATGATGGCCAAGTGTCAATTGATATATCTATGCTGATGGAGAGAGGATAAGCTCCAACAGCTGCCATTTGAAATACATGCAGGCATTAAAGGTCAAGAACAGATGATTGGCCACCAAAAATCTCTTTTAAGGAATTGGAGAAAATATGCCAGTATTTGAGTAGAGAAGATAGCACTCAGTAACAAGAGCCAACCAAGGCACACTGTTAATCAAGTGACTGTAATGTATTGGCCCCAGTCAACATGTTGTCCAATGGTAGTGACAAATACTTGACTGACTCATACCTTGCATACACACAGTCCATCAATTTTGCTATTAAGCATGCAATTTTCTAATTTTACTCTCCTTTGGATAACTTAGTCCAGGTAACATTTCCTATCCAATCTATGGAACAATATTGAATTTTACAGGATATACTAACCTCATCAAAATTTGTAACAGTATCCATAGGAATATTTTCTTCTTCAACAATCGCATGTCGCATTGTGCTTTCCACATTATCAATAAGTTTTTGGAATGCATCAGGAACCTATAACATAAATGGAAGGGACTGAAGTAAGTCTCACGGTTCGAGCACCATATTTCCTTGAATGAATGGCACTTAAACAGGTTTTCATAGCCTTTATTGAGGAAAGAAATAAGAAACTATTAATCTGTACTTGAAGCCTAAAAAGTTATACACAAAGTGGCAATGGAAACAGGTTCTCCTTAAATCCCTTCTATTGAGGAAAGGAAGGAAGGAAGGGGGACGCTTATGTGGGAGGGGTGCTTGTTTGATATTGTGGCCCAAGGGATGGGTGGTTATTTGGGGAAGAGTGCATATTACAGCATAGACACTTATTCCATGAAATAGGGTATGTTAATATTCTAGGTCATGAAGGGATAACCAGGTGAGATTAGAAATAGAGAGACAGTATTAGCATAATTATATAGATGCCTTAGATCATATGCACCCTTGGTAACCCTTATTTCATAATATGTATTGGCTAATGCATTGGTCAATAAATCCATCTGGAATGCTTCCTGATACTCCAGCAATAGTCTCATGTCAGTAATCAGCTGATGGTTAACCAACACCTCAAACAGTCAGGTGACACCTGACGCAAAATAGCAGTCAATTATTGCTCAACAAAAATGGTTTAAATGACTGCCCCACCTAACATGACCTTCACCACTCGTTCCCTGACACTTACCAATCGAAATCTACAAGGGATGTCACTTCTGAATACTCCTGACTCAAGAGCTTCTACATGGCCTCCTACGTATGTCTCAGAGTCGAGCACATGGCCATCACTTGTCAGCTTATTAAACACCTGAAAAAATGCAAAGGGCTTCTAGTTTCAATGTCATAAGAACATAGCATAAGTAATTATGATAGCCAACTGGAAAAAGGAAATAACATGTGCCATTAGGAGCCAAACTGCCTGAAGCAAAGCAAAATACAGGTGACCAACATGACAGAACCCTGACCTGCTCTTGCTTGTTAGGATATATGATGTTTGCATGGAAGGCTTGCACCATTAACAGGGCTTCACACAATGTTCCTGATCCTTTCCTGAGAACCTACAAGGTGTGTTATAATAGTGAGCTAACACAAACCTGTAAACATAGCTAGGGAATGTAGCTTTGCAAAGTGTACATTGTCCACATTTGTTTAATGTGTCCATGTTCTTCATTCTCTCTTTGTGCTTTCTTGCCCACCCAAACTTTTGCATTTCCTTTTGCATGATGACTCTTAATATCAGGCAGACCCGTGGATAAAATTGTAAAAGCTATGGAGACTTAAAACAGGGTTTGAACCCCTGATTCTAGACGAGACTACAATAGCCCATTTTACAGTTGCGTGCTTGGTTGCCAAGCCTTTGAACAGGAGTGAGGCTAATGTTGACCTTATTACGCTACAAAACGTTGCTGCTTTTCAAAAGTAAAATACTCTGTTATCATGCTAACTAGACACTGGTCTCCATCACAACATGGTCACCTTCAGCTTCACTCCAAATCAAAGGCTTGGCAACTAAGTACACAACTGTAAAATTGATTATTTAGGATCTAAACAGTTAAAACTAATTTAAGCTTATTCCAATGAGATCTTGTCCATGTTTCTGTGCCTAGAAGGCATTGGGAGTAACACTTCTAATTTTCCTTGGAGTAGTTTCAACTCCACCAACTTAAATTTTACACCACACACAAGAATTTGACATGACTCATGCCTACCTCATCTGCCTCCATGGGAATAATGGTGCACAGTGCAAAGATAAATGGATGGACATATTTCATGTAAAGGTAGTAAGTTGCAACTGCATCAGAAACTGAGTAATTTGCCAATTCCTGGTCGAGAGAAATGTTAATATTCAGTTAGACATTTTAACCCAGCATGTTGATAAAGAATAACAAAGTCTAGAAGTACAGGTTAACATTTTTCAGATCACATGGTGACCACCATGCTTTGAAGGTTTTTCTCCCTGTCTTCTGGTTGTCTTCCCCCCATTGCAACTAACATTCCAAATTCTAATCTGACTAGAAGACACTGGACAAAGAGCCCCCCCCCCCCCCCCAGTGGAAATGCTGCTCCTATTAACTTTATCTGTTCATTGATTTATTCTGGCTTTGTGTTGATTGCAGTACGTCTTATTTAGTTTTGCCCTAGCTGCACAATATTGGGTTAGATATGCATATTAGGGTCCAAATCATGTGTTCTGGAGTGAATAAAGTTTTGCTTTTTGTGGATCACTTTCTCTCTCAGGCTTACATATCTCATAAGTGGCATTTTCTTTCATTTCATCTAGTTTCCTTTATTCAAATGTTATTGTTTTCCTTTCAGTCAAACCAGATTGTACAAGTCAGATTAAACAGATTAGACAGATATTGAGTTGAATATATTTCTACAGTTTGGATACCTGGCAGCAAGTTTAAAACATTTCTTACCTGAGGTTGCTCACTGGCCATGCGGCACATCTCTTCAGGATCCAGCTCAATGGGATCATATCGCAGCTTAGCCTGCGGGTAAAGAAAAAGACAAATCAGTCAACAACATGAATGATAACTGAGGACTGAACACAGGTCTCATTACTGAGAAAGAATTAAAATACACTCCTTTCAATCCCACCCACAGATTTCAAGGAAAATGTCCTTCTGTGAACCCCTTAACTCCCAGAAGTGATTAACATTATAATATCCATACATTATCCAGCAAACAGGTTCCAAGAAAACTAAAATTAATCAGGTAGAAGTTGTTATCTTGATCTAACACTAAATTATCATAACTAATTTGCAAAGAAACATGTAGCAGCTAGAGGGGAGAATTAACAATCAGATCTTTGGAGTTAAAGGGTTAAGCCTTTTTTTCTTTTAACCATCTTGTGGAAGTTTATATTAAGAAAAAGATGAGAGATAAAATGAGTATGAATAAATGATGAGTCTGAATAAATGTAACTTAAGGGAGTAACATCTCTCAATCAGTTTAGCCAAATATTTGCAACTTCTGATTTCCAAGTTGTTTCATTCTTTTTTTTATTCTTAGCCATCTTTGTTCTTCATTTTCTTTTCTTTATCTCACTGTACCTTTATTTTTTCGACTTCTTCACCCTTTAACTCCCAGAAACTGATTGTTAATTCTCCCCTCTAGCTGCTACACATTTCCTTCTAAATTAGTTGCAAGAACTTGGTGTTAGATCAAGAAAACAAATTCTACCTGATACATTTGAATACTCTCATTACCAGTTTGCAAAATAGTGAACAGATATTGTAGGGAGAAGTTACATTTGAATCACTTCTGGGAGTTATAGGGTTAGAGATAAATTGCACTGTTGCATACCATAAAAAAAGGCTTAAAATGTTCTGATGCAGCACTATTTAGTAGGGCAAAAAAATGTATTAACTGAAAAAAAAATTAAATGAAAAAATGTATTTTTCTCTCCATACTTTGGTAGTAGCCTTCAAGTTTTGACTTCCAACAGGGAGGTAGCTGTCTCTTTTAACCCATCTAAAGAAAACAGCAAATGACATAAACGACAAGTTAGAGAAACCACATTTTCAACCTTTTTTAAGTATATTCAAGCAAATTCCGAAGATGAGAAAAATTTCTGAGATGGTATGGCTTTTGGTATCAGCACCTGTGACAGACAGGTTTGAAAGTTACGGCCTAGGATGGTCAACTGGCTGGCCATTTTGGCCTTCTAACAGCTCTTGTTGACAGCTCTGCCATTATGATTTCATCAACTTTCCTTCATTGACAGTTCATCAGTACCCATTTATACTCATGGGTAGAGAGAGGTGCTATGAGAGTAAGTGTCTTATCCCAAAACAAAAAAACAACAATTGTACTATTGAGGGCTTAAACTCAGACCCCTTCTCCACCAATTGAGGTAAACACTTAGCCACAAAATTATAGAGAGATTTGGTCCATAAAGAAAAATGGATTGTCAAAAGATAATTATCAGACAAACCTGAAAGCATCCATGTGGATTGCTGCCCGACTTTTGTACTCTCCTTGTGCATCAGCAGAAAAACCTGAAAAGAGTGTATCACAAAGAAACTCACTCATCTTAACTTCCACAATCCATGAACTGAGGAATAGGTCAGGACAAATTCAAAACTCATTATTAAATCATAAGGGACAGTCAAATGAAAGTCCTCCAAACCTCACTCAATCTGAAGTAGCTTTCTCCAAAAAGACTTTATCTTATAATTAACTCATGACTGACTGACTGTGCTCTGCATGTTATTAACTGTAAGTTGATAGAGGTAACTGTAAATTAGTCCTTTGCCAGAGAAAATAACTAAGTTACTGACTCACTAACTGACTGCCTGTTTATCGATGAAGCACTGACTTGTTTAAAAGTATAATTTCTCACCAATTTCATCAAACATGTTGATACCATGATATGTTGCACGGGCCTCAACAAATGGCCTGAAATACACATTGTTTTCAAAGTAAGTATTAACACAAGAAGAACAAGTCTTGGGAAACACCTCAAACCTGCCCCATTTGGACCAGAAATGGCTTACATATCAAGAATGCCTCTATCCAGAACAACCACATCTACTCATAGATCAAGCAAGACATATCACAACCTTGGACTGTCCAGTTCAAAGCCTCATCCTATTTTCTTGAAGCATTCATTGAAGTGGAAATTACTAACAACTTCTATCTTAACACCACTAGGTAAGCTCTTGTTGAAGAGCAGGAGGTTGAGGGTCCATGCCCCAGACCAGACCAACACTCAGGGTCCTAAAATAATGAGGAGAATGTGTTGTCTTTGCTATAACGTCCACAAATGGTTAGACATTCTAGTCTTCACAAGGATGAAAAACTGAAGGCCTTGTATCATGCATTTCCTTTGTGCTGGCTGGCAGGGGACATTAAACAACCCACACACTTCTCCCAAAGGATAGGGAACCTAGCTTCCAGTGTTGTAGTCTGACCTAGTCATTGTCTAAAGAGGCCCCCATTTAAACCACGCACTGGACATGACAAGAAATCTCTTACCAATCAAAGGAATCACCATTGTAGGTTACAAATATATTTGGTTTCACTTCCAGGATATGCTCGAAAAAACGCTGGAGGAGGCTTAACTACCAAGAGAAGAATTGAAAAATAATTTTTCAAAAAATATCAGCAATAATGTTTCAATATTCAGGCACAAAATCCATCTTACAGTAAAGTTTTGAAGACATCATCATCATGTTCCTACCTCATTGGGCTCGTTTATGACTGTGAAATGTCCTTCATATTCAGGTTTAGGTGTGTATTCAAAATCTTCAATGTCTTCTGAAACTATTTCTCTATTAATAATTAAGAAGCCCTGCAACAAATAAAACAAGATAGTTGATCAAGTAAAATCTGATTCCAACAGACAGAAAAGTAACAGACCACTGCCATAAACCCAAACTTCCTAAACAGTTTGGAATGCAAAAAGTGAGTTTCAAAAGAAACCTTGGTGCTGCGTCCGTGCTGCGGAGAGTGCAACAGAGTAATTAAGTATTATCAACTGAGTTGATAACATAAATTGGCCACCAAGATGGTTTAAAAGTAGACATTTTGAACATTAGCCCTGTGCCATTTGCTCTGATGGAGGACTAATGCTTGAAACGTCAGCTTTAACCCTTTAACTCCCAGATCAAATTTTTAATTCTCCTAACTGTCAATCATACAATTCTTATAATATTGGTTCAGAGAACTTAGTGTTGGATCAAATAATTATCCCCAAATTGATCTTTTTATTTATTCTCATCACTCATCTGGTTGATTTTGTATTGATATTGTAAGGAGAAATTCTGTCTTGGTCACTCATGGGAGTTAAAGGGTTAAAACCCTTTACAGTGGCCAATTTAGTTGATAATACTTAATTACCCAGTTTGGAATGCAGATAATTTTAGTTAAATACCTGGCCATCAATCATGTAAGACACCATCATGATGGAGTCTGTGCTGGAATCAGGAAACTTAAGTGGCAGCTTTGTTGTCTCAATATCATATGCCAGCACAATTGGTTCCTGTAGAAAACCAAAGTTTCACATGAGAGGCTACAATTTTTAAGGCATCATCAAAAACCAATTCCCTAGTCCATGTCTTTCATAAAAAAGAAGCACCAGTATTTGGCCTCACATAAAGAACCAGATTGGAAAGCAGATTTTGTGGACTACATTTCCCTAAAAACCTCTACACCCTTATGTCATTGTGCATATTCTCCATACTGTTCTCTATACATTTCCTAAGGTGCTGACAAGGAGAATTTGTTAAACAATCAAGAGCATCTTAGGGTCAAAGGGTGTAACAAAATTACCAGGGAAATTTTATTTTGTACTGTTCATGGAAATCTATTTTCCTTAATAACTGCATGTGTGGTGAGCTATTTTGTGCACTGCATCTGTATATAATTATAAAGTAAGAGCACAACGAAAGATAAAAAAGCCCACTCACAGGTCTGTCGAGAAGATCCTCCCTTCTTCTGATCTCTGCATGAATTCCACCACGAACTTTCACATCATACCAGTGACCCTGTTAAATGACAAGAGAAAAGTTATAAGAAAGAAGAAAAGGTTACACATTTGTCACAAGTGAGGAAGGGCAGGGGCAAAATGGAAATCTGCTTTTTTTCTTAGGATTTGAAGCTTAGATGTTAGAAATATATTATTTGTTTATGCCAGTTTCAAAAAGTTAACTACTATGAGTTTAACACATATTCCTAGTAAGCAGTCATTTTCAAAAGAGCAGGCTAGCATGAATCATTGTAAATCTGTGGCTTCTCAAGCATTGAGGCTGTTCCTCAACAGTTTGTGGCAATTATTTGCAAGAATTCTACTAACAAATTCCTCCTAACCACTCCACCCTCCCTTTTTTTCCCTCTTACACAGATCTAATCAGTGTTGACAGGTGCCTAAAATGGGGGTCATGGTTGGGATACAAGAAACTTCCAGCCATATTCACCACCATTAACTTCTCCATCTCATCCTATGCTTGAGTGTTTAATATTTCATTTCTAATATTTTAACCACATTTTATTCACTCACCACAAAAATCCTGAGATCAATAGCCACTCTGACATGATAGGGTACATCATATTCCCTAGTTAAAAAAAAGATTTTGAATTGAAAATGTTTTGTACACAGCGAGTCTCTTAACCCTTCCACTTCCAAGATATCTTTAGGTGTGTTTCCTTAAACAAAGTTTGGATCCCCCATCAAACATTCCTGAAGAATCTGCAGGCTGTAGTCTTTGCAAATATGTTTAGCTTAGAGAAAGATGTTTTTAGTCTTTTCACTAGCATGGGACAAAGAAAAAATTCTGAGTCCCCATGTGGCCAAGAGGAATCAAACCTCAGACCTTTGGATTCTGCACTCTGATGCTCTACCTCTGAACCTCTATAGTGAGCAAGACCATTTCAGGGCGTGAAATTGCGCCTAATACAGGTGCCAATGCGACTAAATTTTTCACTTTGGTGACCAAATCCTGAAAGTTAGTCGCCAAATTGGCGACTAGAACGTTTCATCATAACCTTACCAAGAGATTTAGTGAATTAAAAAGATTTGCAAAGATAAATCCGCGGCAAACTTCCTCGTTAAGTTTGTTTCCAAAACGTAGCACATGCATCTCAATGGATAACTGGACGCCGTCTTGGATTTAGATGAGTGTCCACTTTGTAGCACGTTAAAGATCTTTTTCTTAACTTAATTTTATAGGGTCTATCTAGAACGCTGACAGCGTAAAGAAAGAAATTTGTTTGTCTTTGAAAATGGCGACCAACTTTTTTTGAATTGGCTACCACTTTGAAGAATTTAGGAGCCAAGTGGCTATCAGGAAAAAAAGTTAATTTCACGCCCTGCATTTTGAAGTCATATATGACATGCGTCCTGCATACTGCTGGGATCAGCAATGTCGATGGCATCATGTTTATAAATAGAATTAGAAAATGGTAGATTTTGAGCTTGCTGAGCTTCCCAATGGCCTTGTTTATCATAGAGTATCTGTGGCTCACTGGTAGAGCATTGGAGCACAGAGTCCCAAGGTCTAAGGTTCCATTCCTCATGGGGACTCAGAATTTTTTCTCTGTTCTAAGCTTGTGACAAGAGGAAAAAGTTCTCTCTATTTTTCACCCAACTCAAAATTTACCATCTCTCTTATTCTATTTACAAATATGTTTAGCTTAATGATAGAAAAGTGATACATACTCATGTCTTCATCTCACTCAGAGTCATGTACTTCATAAACAACTGACTGTGCCAACAACAAAATGGCCAAAATCCTCGCATGAGTGCAAAGATTTTTTGAAAAATTTTAAAAAGACAATAAATATCTTTAAAGCAAGTTTTGAAGAAAATACAAAAAATTCAGTTGGTTTATTACCTGATGTCAATGATATTTGCCATTTGATCAGTACTTCTTCTGTTAGCTGCAATCATTTCTTCTTCATTCCAATCATTGCCCATCACAATGTTGTACGCTGCATTTGTCTTGGCCTGTTCTTTGTTTTTCCTTACAGCTGGCATAATTTCCCTTGGATTGAGATAAAATCATGGAACAACTTATTTATAATCTGTGAATAATACTGTGTAAAATAAAAACCTCTTATCAAAAATCTTACCTCTTCACTTTCATCAAGTCATTAACTGTGAGAAATGACAGCTTAATGTAATTTCTTTTCAGCCCAACAAGGTGATTATTCTAGAGGGCAAAGAGATCATAAAGAATAATTTTAAAATTACAGTTGATTGAACCATATTGCTGAGAATAAATCCCAAAGAGTGATTTAATTTCTCCTGACAATAATTCAGCTGAATCATTCATTAAGATCAAAAGAACAAAGGAAATTATCAGCAGTCTTCAGAAACTTTGATCATTAAACAAATTCTCCTTATCAGTACCAAAGAAAATGTTAATGAAGGAGAGTATAGAGAACATGTATACTGATGTCAGGGTGTAGAGGGTCTTACCAGATCTAGATCTTCCTTTGCAACTGTTTCTATGCTTGCTATCAGTCCACCAAACTTTCTGTTCAAGAAAGTTGCCACTTCTCGATCAGTGTCCTAGCATTGGAGACAAAGTTAAGATTTCAAATTTAAAAGGGTTTTCAGTGAGGTAGATAATTTAAGTATTCTAGGTCTAAAAGAATAGATTCAAAAGTAGCCATATGAAAGGGCTGGACATGGATAAAACATTTACCAGATCATAAAAGGACTAAAAGCACACTCACTTTCTTTGCAAGGATGTAGAAGTAAGGCTTGTAGGGTAATGGTACCTGTCAAATGACAATAAAAGCATTGGTTCAGAGGACTGACCAACTGAGGCCCAGCTCAGACATCATGCTTCTGCCACACCAAACTGAATACAGGAATTAAGTTATACAAAAGCACAGCAGAAGCACGGAATCTGAATCAAACTTTTTAACTAAGTTCAAGAGAATTGAGTTCAACCAGCTCTGCTGTGCTACATGACTTTGGCTCAAAAGTGATTCAGATGTCATACCCCTGCCATACCAAACAGAATTCATAAATTATACTAATGTACTTTAGTAGGATTGCATTATTACAGGGGAGTCATGATAATAATAATTCTCCTTTACAGAATATGCGCCAAGGGCGTTTCGGTAAATGCTGAATTTTGCACAATGTTGGCCCATAGTCGCACCTAATTGCAAACAAGTTCTGCATGGCAGAAGCATGACATCTGAACTGGGCCTTAAACTTGCTCACTTGTGCACTCACTCACTCAAAAACTCATTGACACAGACTCATTGGCTCATTTACTCACCCACTGACCTACTGACTGACTGACTGATTGAGCAATTGAGTAACCAAATGACTGGCTCAGTGATTGACTGCCCAAGTAAGTGCCTAAATGACTGTGTAACTGACTAACTGACTCCCTGCCTTTTTGACTCACTGATTGACTAACTGACTATTTTTGCATATGGCAGGTTATCAGGACTATATACCATTTGATTGATGGACTGATTGACTGATTGCCTTAATTCACTGATGGATAGATTTATTTGAATGAATGAATGTGTATTTATATACCGCACATATCACATACTGTCTCAAGGCGGTTTACAATTCTAATTGAGTGAGATCGAACGTCAGCTTGTAAAGGCGCCTCTGGCTGCCGCTATCAGTCCATATTTGATCTCACTCACCCACCCAGCCCATGCATGAAATGTACAATGAAACAACAGATAGACCACCACACCGGGAACTACGCCCCCTACTCTTTTCGACAAGTGTGTGGGTTTTTTAACGTCCCCTGCTGACCATGTAACACTGAAGATGCAGGAGACGGGACCTACGGTTTATAGTCCTTATCCGAGAAGACTTGAATGTCTAACCATTTGCTGGTACAATTACAAAGGCAGCACATTCTCCTCAGTTATTTTAAGACCCTGAGTGTTGGTCCGGTCTGGGGCTCGAACCCTCGACCTCCCGCACAGCAGACTGGCGCTCTACCAACTGAGCTAACCAGGCGGCGGTATTTCTTGGCAATAATGCAGATGAGACCAATAATAAAGGATTTTTGAGTACATTAATCCACACCAAAGGAAAAATTTGAATCTATGTTTACAATGCTATAAAAAGACTTGTGTATCAATGAATTTAAAGCTCCAACACCCCCCTCCGACAATTGCATTCAAATACTATACCCAACCACTGCATTTATGGTCAAATGCTCTGCCAGAGAACATATTTTTTTCACAAAATGGCGAGAAATAAAAGACATGGTGCATTAGCTTTTAGCACCCTTGTTGCCCTTTTTGCTTGCAAGCATTATACTATAATGATGTTGACCAGCACAGACAACAGTAAGATGCTCATGGGTTGCCTAAAATGGGTATAGGAGATGACAAAGCTGCAAATTGATCAGCGCATCATCAGATTTCATAGTACCCACCCTAAAGCGGCCTCCATCATCTTGAATGAAGTAGAGGTCTACAGCACTTATTAGCTTCTTATCATCATCAATTACTTCTGTCTACCAAAAAAAACAAAAACAAAAAAACAGGAGTAAATTAAGGATGAGCAACCATTTTTTGGGACAGCGTATCATCGAGTCTTAACACTGAAATACCCCCTGTTTCTTCCCTTTGACTTCACTGCTCTGTGAAATGCACTCATTTTGTTGTCACGTTTTCATTACAACTAACATTATCAACTTGAAGGTTTTCGGAAGGCAAACAAATCCTTACCATAAAGATCAAGGCAGGCTAGAAACGATGTTTCACAATTTCATTTCAAACTTGTCTACTAGTCAGTCAACTTAAGTACTTTACTGTACTTTAAAGTTATGACATTTTTCTATCGTGTCGTCTCTTGCTCTTGGGCAAATGTAATTATCTTGTTTAACTTACTGGATGCATGTTGATAAGCCATCCAAGTCGATCTATTGGCTCCTTGTAGCGATCAAATCCATACTTAACATCCAGCGTGTCATTTGTTTGAATCCTGAGGACCCTTGTTTCGGTCGAGCCACCGAAGTCATCAGGTCTAGAGAGTGATCAATCGTAGAAAGTAAAGTTATTTCAGTTTAGTGGATCTCTCGATCGTGAAAAACCGGCAGATACAGAGGCTAACTCACACATACTTCTGATCTGATCTTCGATCGAATGAAACTTTCACGATCCCTATGAGCTACAAAAGAGACAAACTTGAAATGTACAATTATGCCAAATCCAAGATGGAGAACTAACCTTGAACGCGAGCGTGAATTACTGCTATCCTCGCCATCGTCGGCATCTCCTTTCTTTCTTTTACCACTATTCAGAAGAACCATGTTTGCGTTTTCAAAGTTTTGTTAGTGATCAACAAACATTACAGCTACAATCGCGAAAAATTTAGATGAACCCCTCAATGACATTTGAGGACCAGATTGAACTAATTGAGCGAAGTTGACGCATTTTGATAATTTGGCGGGAAACAAGACAGCATATTACGCATATACTTTTAGCATTTCCGCTGTGCACAAAATAAGGTTTGTTTTTCGATTGGTCACGCAATCTAGAAACGTGCGTAACGTCAAAAGTCGGTCGCAGAAGTCAGAATAATGTAAGTTAAATTTTCGCTCTAGAAGGAAGAGAACCTTGTATGTGATCCTTACTTGGGTTCTATATTACGATCAGTCACGAAATCACGATCTCTCATGATGAGTGGTCCAAAATTCCACGGCAATACTCCGGGAATGAACCCAAACGCTCACAAATTTATCGATGGATTCTCGTGTAAAGAGGCCATGGAGGATTCCCTAACATGTCTCACTGACAACAATTATGACAGTAGTAAGTGCGGAGACTACTACAAAGCGTACGAAGATTGCAAGAGAGAATGGTTAAGAGAGAAGAGAAAACAAAACAAAACAAACTTATAAACTGCTAGTTAACCGAAGGCTATCAACAATCAGTTAGAATTAAAGCCTTCTGAAGTACTTCGGAACTTCAAATTATAGTTTCCTTGGTCAAGAAAACACCTTCTCCAAGAGAACATCTGCCTCACGCTGAAAAGTATGCGACAAAAGAGGGGTGAGTAATTTCAGTGACGAATGTTGGCCCTAACAAGAGCGTTGCGTGACTGAAGACTGCTGCATGATCACACAATTTTGATACTTTTAGAAGTCACGCGACATTAACGTTCCGAGCTGCGCGCGACGAATGTAAAGCCGTTATGTTTCTCGTACGAGAATAAACCACGATTGCCGTACTTAACTTCACCAGGAGTGGATCAGAGGCTAGAAATACGGTATAAAACGTAGAAAAGATGTTGCCAGGATATTTTACGATTAATATATGCAAACAGTCTATAATTGTCCAAATATGTATGATAGGATGCGTAGTTCATCCCTTACAGTCACTCTGTTTATACGTGTAAAATAGGAAATTCAATGTTGATTTAGTGCTACAGAGTAAAAAAGTGAGATTGAAAAATGAAGACAAAAAAAAAAAAGGCAAAAACACGAGATATCATTTGCGGTGACCCATCTAGGTATTGATTTTAGACATGGTCTGCCTGTGGATCTGTGGCATACCACGTAATAAATAAGTTAACACACTTTTAACGTTTGTAGCCAATGATTAGCTGATGGAGTGGTTTCACAAATATTATGGTCAAAAGAATAAAGGAAACGATCACCAATTAAAGAGGCTCTTGATCGCCTAAACAATTCTCTTTGACAGCACCGTAGGAAATGTATAGAGAACAGTATGGAGAATATGCATACTGATGTTAGGGCGTAAACGATTCACGACTCAAGTTCTTTACTCATATTTATGCTAATAACTTTTTCCTTCAAGTTTTTTTTTGATAGAGTAACGACGATTTTTTCATCAATGGATGTTTCCTTTGAGCGGACATCTCAAAGGGGTTAACTTTTGATTTCCAATATTAATATTTTAGAGAAAATGACATATTTTAGATCATGTTCAGCTCACAAAGGAAATAAAATATACCTTCTTTGTCTCCAAACTGATTTTCGATCAAACTCAGTTTTAACAATCCGTTATAATAGGTCAGATCAAAAGGGAAGAGATTTTAAAAGAGTTGAATAAGAAGCCAATAATAATACAAACTGTTGCCATAACAGACCGAAAAGTAATGTATACCATCATTGCGTGACTGGGTCTGAGATTAAACAGATAAAACAGTTTTTTTTTATCAAGTATTTATTAGTTTCTACAGAGGCTCATAACCTAGTTTATATGCTTTAGGTTTCCACGAGTATTGGTTTCAAATCAGTGTTGGTTTTGAATATCTCTTAAGGGCAGTTAAGTTTCATTTTCGATTACTCACAATGTCCAGTAAAATAAACTCTATCTGAGATCATACCAACACTGGTAATTTCACGTGTCCAGTTGCAAAAGCTATTTGAGGGAAAGAAAATAATAAGTCTTTTTTTCTACGTTGTTTTTCTTAGCTGAGCCAGTGTCTTCTCCATTTGTTCATGGCTAACACTTCTTCCTGCCAAAATTTTCTATTTTCTTCAGATTCCTTGCGGACTCTTTCTAGCATCACTAAATGATCTTCCTCCGGAACCATTTTCTCTTCTTCTTTGGGTTCTTCTTCGCTATCGGCAGATTCCTCTGAAATGATAGAAAGAAAAAAAAATCTTGAAAAATGTTGCTAAGAAACGCAAAATTGGTGAGGGGAATTTCTGCGATGTTAAAATTTGCTAGGGGATGAGAGACTTGGTTTGGTAAGCTTTGAGTTCAATCCACATATTCAAAACTCGTCGTGTGGTCGACAAGAAAAGTTACATAATGCAAACTGAAACAGCCAAAAGGAAACCAGCTGTGTGAAAAAATTCCATTTCTGGAAACGTTAAAGGTTGATCACAATATTAATTATGATTACTAACAGTCAAGAAAAAGGACAGGTGACGTCACCCGCGCAGGCGCAATATCAGCCACGTTGCAGGTTCACAATGAAATATTAATTGTTGGACATTTCGCGTTCAGGACGTGATCTTTATGCGCGGTGAGACGAACTTACGAGGATCGATCAGCCAAGGGAGAGATACGCCATGGGGAACACTCTGACAAGATTATTCAAACGGCTCTTTGGTAAAGAAGAAGTCCGAATATTAATGGTCGGACTAGATGCTGCGGGAAAAACGACGATTTTATATCAGCTGAAACTCGACGAACCTGTCACCACAATACCGACAATTGGATTCAACGTCGAGACAGTCGAATACAAAAACATCAGTTTTACTGTGTGGGATATCGGAGGGCAAGACAAAATTCGTGTTCTGTGGAGGCTGTATTACCAAGAAACCCAGGGACTTATTTTTGTTGTAGATAGCAGCGATAGGAATCGTGTCGCGGAAGCGAAAAATGAGTTGTTCCGTCTTCTAGCCGAGGACGAACTTCAGGACGCTGTTCTTTTGGTCTTTGCAAATAAGCAAGATTTACCCAACGCCATGTCCACCGCGGAGTTAAGCGATAAATTAGGGCTTCACAGTCTCAAGGGAAGAAACTGGTACATTCAGGCCACCTGTGCGCTTAAGGGAAAGGGTCTCTACGAGGGTTTGGAATGGCTTTCTCAACAGATTCGAGAACAACAAATCAAATTTACATAAAGGTGCTGGTTGGGGCTTTTTCTCTAATAAAAGGAACCCGCTTTGAAGCTGTTCAACAACGGTTCGGGAGGAGAATAACCAAGAAACGATCTCGTCTCGGTGTTCAGAAATAATGGAAAGAAGGCCAAGATTTAGCTGGAAAGATGTTTGAATAGAGAGGAAAGAGGGGAATAACTGCCAGTGATCGCGTGGGAAATTCAATGAATCACAGTGCTAACGCATCACAAAGAAGGTCATCACAAAGAGGGTCAGTTCATCTTTGTTTTCGTGCATCTCAAGAGCTCCAAGGCGTGTCAGTGTGGCTGAACAAAAACCTGCGACAATCAACACTCCAGGCTTGGAATTTTTTTACGTAAACCTAGATTATTTATTTAAATGGAATCGTTTTCATTTATGATATAAGCCGAGTTATAAATATGTTTCCGATGGTCTAATTCACCAAAAATTGTGTAACTATGCTTATGAATCTTTTTTACAAATTTTCCATTGTCTATCAACAGCTATGTCAACTAACAAAGTGGACTGTTCAAAACTAGAGTGTTAAAATGTTGGTCGGTAATAAAAGCTTCCCGGCAAGATAAAACGAATTCATGATTTAAGCTTTGATGTGAAATTCTATGCTGGAAATATAAAAGAAAGTTGTTATGATATCCGTTTGTTGCCAGGATTCAGAATGAAGTGATAAGTATGTATTCGAACTATTATTCAGATTATAACTATTATTAATTTTGTTTATTCTGAAAATAAAATCACAATGGTAGTTAGTAGAGCGTCAGTTTTCCTTCTTGTTTAGAAAAACAGAACCCTTTACTGATATGCACAGGTCATTGGGTGCGCTGGTTTGGGCGATTGGTTACACCCGTAGACCAACAAGCCAAGGAATAAATGTAACAATGTGCTCACCAGCCTAATGGGATTATCGCAAGTGTTGGAAACTACTATGATCGGAGCAAATGTACATGCTTGGGTCTCATTCTAATATCAGATAGGTCTCCCGCTGTAGTTATGACGAAGAGTAAAATCCAAGAATTCTATCTTACTGCCAAAAAACTGAACGAGATACGCTCCGAAAGTTTTTTTGTATTTTGGTCACTTTTTGTGTCTGCAGATAAAATTGTTACTCTCTCGTGAATTTCCACCGGTACGTCTGATCTTTCTCACCAGCAACATCCGGTCAGAAGGGAAGGGTTTTTTTTACCTATCATCCACGCAGTAAATACGACACTGAGTGCATTGGTGAGTGCTGGGTTCTAAATCAAGGCTGGTTGCTTACTTTATCAAATTAATTATATCAAAACAGAGGAACAAAACGGAATTGTGCGATTTTTTCCAATCACCGAATAAAAGCAACGAGGCAATGAAAAAAAATTCCCACAATTTTTGTTTGTGTTGAGTTACATATTACTGTGGCAGGCTCTTGCAGCAGATGTTTTTGTTTTGTCTTCTTTAATTTTCAGTTTTCTTTTTAAAAAATGCAATGGACTGGAAAGACCTATTTCATCATAAAGGCAGGCGTGTATGCCATTCACTTGTGCGCATGCAAAGGAATATTCTTATGGTGCATGTAAATAAGCCTTCTCGTCCGTCCTTTCGAGTAGAAATTCTATCGATTTTGTACGTGTTGACGAGGCTAAGAAAGCTTTAATAAAATATTTTGGTTTTATCAGCTGATTTGACAACATATATTGGCCACCGTAAAGAGTTTCAAAGCTGACGTTTCGAGCGTTAGCCCTTCGTCAGAGCGAATGGATATAGGAAGGCTATAATTTTGTTGTACTTAAGACAAAAAAAAAATTAGACCTGCCATTTATCAAAATGGGCCAACTGATCTGGGAAGAGTAGCAATACTTCAAGGTGCGTCATGCTTTGGAAACTTATGGTATATAGATATGCTCCTTCCGAGCTGGGCTTCTTAGCCTGTAAAACCTTAGCCTGACTTAGAGAAAATCGACAGTAACTTCGTTCCCAGGGCCCCATTTTCCCTTGAAATGTGAAAAGAGCCTTGGGAACGAGATTGAATTTGTGAAGCCTAGTGGACGAGACGAGTTGGCTCTTTAGAAAGCTTCGTCATGTAGGACCTGATGACAATCCACGGATATATATAGATACGTAGTACTAAATGCAATGATAAGAACAACAATTTAACAAAAAAGAAAAAAAGCCAACAATAAACCTTTGGTATAGGACCGGTCATTATTTCATTATCGCCTGAAGCGGTCGAACGATTTTGGTTGTGTCACAGTTAAATTTAACTGATCTCCACCTTAGACCCTGTAGTATTTTAATGATACCCCTCCTTGGTAGACGATTTTGTATAGTCTCCCCTTCTCTCTATACTCTGTTAGCGACGACTGATCCCCACTCCGTTCCCCTGAAAACCACGTGGTTTCCCCCCCCCCCCAATCCCCCAACCCCCATCAGGAGATAAATAATGACAGATCACTCTGAGCTCGGTATGAAAGACTTTGGAGCCTTACAGACGACGCAGAAGAGGCAAAAACAACCTCCAATCCACTTAATTGATGTAAACATCAGTTTCCATTGGAAGAAAATTTTCCGCAAAAAAACACTTAAGTGGTTATTGACCCCGGCTTGCTTACGGTGATCTTCAAAACGCGGAAGGTCTGGGCGGGGAGAAGTCAAATCACACCTTTCTCCCAGCTCACCTCGCGTACCTGTGCCACGCACTCTTAAAAGAAGACTTTGTACGGGTGGACTGTGGACTCTTTTTCGAGTCTGACTAACCCTTTATTGGTACTTCAAACTGAACAAATTTGAAATTTTCTCACCTGGATTTTCCTCAGCTACAGGGCTCGCTTTTGCCTCCTCGATTTCTTTAATGCACTCGGCTTTATCATCCTCCGATTCGCACAAGTTTCTATTTTCCTCTTTGTGAAATAGAAAAAGAAGAAAAAGAGTAGGGTTATCAATTTTTTAAGTGAACACATCTCAGCATTAGTTATTACTGCAATTCTAAAAATGTATGGAAAACCTTGATCTGTAGTTCATTTTTTTTAAAAACAAAGCTTCCTTGATCTGTAAACTCAGATGTTTCTTTATAAGTAAGGTACGCACTTCCAAATACTGTCGACACTATGGCCTATTTATAGCCGCCTCCTAACCTATAAAAAAAATTGGGAAGGAGCCCTTTCCCGAATTGTTTGTTTGTTTTAAGGCTGGGGGCGCTGTACACGGGCTATCAGTTCCAGGATTTGTCACACAGCGATGACAGGTTACTGTCAAGAAATCAAAAATGTTTGTTTATTTTGGCACCAGCACCACATAATGTAAACTTTACGTGGCTATCCGTTTTAACGGGTTGTCCGCATTTTTTTTCCTCGGGCACATTACGACAATGTGGTTCCAGAATCGTGAGAGTACCTTGTTATCAGAAATGCACCTTAACAAAAGAACAACTCCTACGAAGGTAAGTCTTCTTTCGTTAAAACATTCCTTACTTAACTTTTTTTTCTAAAATACTGCGACAATATGTAAAGCAACTGAATAGAGTTGAATTGAATTTAAAATGAGGTGATACGCGGGGAAGTTTGAAATTTAAGCACCATTTTAAACAGAATTTCTGTGATGAGCCTTCTCGGTAAAAGCTCTTAAATTATTACCCCCACTGATAAATGATCCATAACTAGGTACACCGACATTTCTCGTATTTCTTCCGTTCTTCTGCACTGCACGCTTTAAGATTCCCTATCTTCACTTTAAATATCATCTAAATTGAAAGAGTAATCCCGAAGTTTGTGCACTTCTTACTAAACTTTGAAAAAGCAATGGCCACGTATGAATTTTGACGATGCTTCACGCTAAATATATGATGTGGTGATTTAATTCCTGGAGGCGCTAGCGGCCCAGGCTTTCAGGAAACTTATATGGTTTCTAAATTTTATTATTTAGAGAACGGGAAAAAAAAATAGGTCCTAAAATTCTGCTCCCTATCAAAATACGCCATAAAAATTTCGTAAATTGTGTTCATGTTGCATATCTTTCTATCTGTTCGACAATAAGGCCATTTATTGTATACCACACAATTGAATTGTGCTTTTTGCGTGCGATGATTGGCTAATTCGGAAGTAAATAGCAAGTTCTATTCCCCTCCAAGCAAACGATCAGACAAAACCGCGCGTCAAGAGTTTAATTTCGGTATATTAAAAGAAATAAAATAGTTTTTTGATATCTGTTTATTTGATTTCCACCTCAGTGTCGGTGAAAACGGTGAATATTTCCATCGCCGCTTTGCGGTTCGGTTAATATCCACCCCTATTCACCCTCACTTCGGTGAATAACTGTTTATTATTTTGAAACTGGTCGAGCGAGATTTAGATTTTAAGTTACCATTGCTGAGTAGGAACTTAAACGTTTTTATGCCACTTCGAGTTAGTTTTGAACAGGCGACTCAAGAGGGTTTGAGAAGTCTACAGCTTTTTCCTTTTAGAAGCGTAAACCAAGATGGCAAGTTCTTTTAAAATTGTTAAAAAAATGCATGAAAATGATCCTAAAGTCGATCCTAAATGGGTAAATTGAGTTTGCGCAAGATGCAATATTAACACATGGAACACCAGTTATAATTTTGAATCTGCAAGCGTAACCGAAAGACAGAATTTCAAGAAATTCTCCGCTTATTGCGATACATCGTCCTATAAATTTAAATGGTGGGTCCCATGGAACTTGGGTCGCCTGTGCTTACGTTTGAAAAGTACTGTAAAACCTTGTAAAGTATGGTAGTGAAATACGTTCGCTTTTTTCATTGATCAGGCTAACAAAAACAAAGATATTCATTTTCGTGGTAAGCACCCTGTCTTCGTTTCACTTACCATTCAAAGCCGGCTTTCCGAAAACATCGATACAGGAGAGAAGCAAGACAAATGTAACAATGTGGAATGTTATACGTCCCATGATCGTGAACGCAGGGAAAAGGGAACCGACTCCGCCGCCGCAGCGGCAAACTTGTTGGAACATGGCGCTTAGCAACCACAGCGCTCCCAAAAGAATTTTCGGAATAAATGAAACCAAAGCTGCTGAAAATTAAAACAAGGGTGTCTTTTCGCTGTTTTGACAAGGTTGTGACTTTAAATATTTTCACAGAATCGTGTCGTAAGTGGGATCGCTTTAATGAAAATTTTCGATTCGAACAATCCCGGTGATCAATCGAGTCAAAAGCTGTTCGTTTGCTGTCGGATGACAAAGTCTTCTTCAAAGTAAAGCAACAGAGGAGTCAAATTTGACTAAGTGCGACTTTATTTTTTCCAAAGCATCTCTGGGCGGGCTGCATTCCTCATCTTCTAATCTGATTGGCTAAATACGCGTTCTTAATCGAAGGACCCACTCAAGACCTCGGACGCAGTTTCCCATCAACGAATCTCGCGCTCGGTAAATAACAACTATGTCTTCCTTCTTTTGCTTTATGTTTGTTTATTTGATTTCCACTTTTCGTTTTTATTGGGTTGTTTTTCTTTAACTGTACCATTGCAGCACGGCAAGATTACAGGTAGCCCCTCTGTCCTGGCGTAATCTCCCATGCGGATTCATCAGAAATCAAGCAAATTATGAAATTCCAGGGAAAAATCTCACGCACGGACAACAATATTCTGGTAGAGGATTGGATCATATAAAATCCGCTCCCCTCCCCCCCCTTAAAAAAGGAATAGACGTCACAAAACTCACAAGCTGATAACAAATTTTGGGATAAATTGTTTTTTACCCCAAAACTTGTATCTTGTGTACTTCAGGTATCTCAGGTCGCTATATCGACCGATAGACGACTGATGTGACAGTCGATCGATAGCAATCCATGGTTCGTCGATTGCTCGATAGTGATCGGTCGCCCGTATTTTACGATCGGTCGCCCATATTTACGATCGACAAAACGAAATCCATTGCAGTAAAAATATGAAGTTTCCAAGGTCACCTTGGATGGCGAGATCGAATAAGAGCGAAGAGGAACTGATAACATCAGGTTATAAACAGTTATTGGATCAGATTTTTGTGATATCCAGAGTAATGTAGGTCTTGGTTGGGGTATTGCACTGTACGCTTTCGGCCAATCAGAAAACGGATAGTGAGCTGAATGGTTAATAATACTCCGGAAATTCGTGGGCACACCGCTCTTCAACTCGTCACGTGCATATGATATGAATATTTAATCAGTCCAGGAATTGTTCAAAGCTAATTTTATTTGGCAACTTTAATGTCAACAAAGGATTGATCATATTCGCTGATTGGCTTATATGACTCGTTACCACTTTTAACTATGACAGACAAAAAAAAAATTTAAAAAATAGACATACACCGGTTATGCTCTTTCAACACCAACCTATTTTTAGAAATAACGTGCCACAGTTGCTGCATCAAGAATTTCTCTTTTTCTTTAGTTTGTGTCAACCAATATCAAGGGTGACAAATTAACAGCTCGCAAAATTGTGCTGATAATGTCATCGCTTAGAGGCAATTGCGCATGTTTTTTCTTTTTTTCGGTTTCGTAGTAACTTATTCAATTTTGTAACATTATCGACGGATGAAAGTGTCTCTAAGTTACACTATGCAGATGTTTCTAAATTTCATTTTGAATATCGGTTTGTTTATTTAACCACTGGGGACAATTTTTATCCAAGCGAATTGTGTCCTCACGGAAATTTCCCGTGGGGAAAGCCGCTTTTTATTACTAGACAATTGCTTTTCTTCCTTCTTAAATTTACATTTTCGTCTGCTAAATTTATTACCTGTGTAATAAATTGCTGAAAGGAATTTCTCATATTCTACTTTTGCGTCATTTTATGTGACCAATTAACAACAAAGTTATTAAGTGTGACCGTCGAAGTCATGCGGCAGCCGCCAGTCCATTTGTGGTTCATATTTTGTGACTTTTTATTAAATCGAGGTCACAGCATGAATAAGTGTCCTATTTATAATAAGTAAATGTTTCTAAATATAAGTTTCTTTTGCATTTTTTAAGTTGTTATTTTCAATTTTAGTTTAATTTAACCGGCAACAATATTCATCAAATTGCGTTGCGTCCTCACGAAGACCAGTTGTTATGTCTCTCTCCAAAATATATATATTTCATTAGCTGAATATGTAATTTTCAAAATTTCGAAGCGTGTATCTCTCGTAAGTAATAATTAACCACACATGGCCATTTCAATCATCGGTTACAGCGCATGACTAGACGTGTTTCATCGGCCTTCTGTCATTATTCAAGACGGTAGAGATTCAAAGGAAAGCGAATATGGTTTTAAGAAAGTTACGGCGAGGACTCTGTGTTTTAGTTCCTATCTACGTGTGCTTGGTGTTCATAGGATTTTTTTCATTTATTTGGTCACGCGCGAGAATTCCCCGTGGGCGAAAATCGATTGCCCATGTCACTGTATACAATGAACCAATTTCTCTCGTTAATACATCGTTCAATTCATCCAAAATGTCTGGAGTGTTAAACTTGCATATATGGAATGATTTATGTGGGAATAGTGTCGAACTTCTTCGTGAGACGCCTCTGTTCCCTCGCTATCCTCACGAACGACTTTTCATAAGGAGTTTCCAAACTGCACGACATGTGGATGCTTACGCTCAAAGAATTTTTGGTTTCATCGAGCCTAAGGTTTCGGGGTTATACACTTTTGCAGTTTCTTCCGATGATACTTCTGAACTGTGGCTTAGTTTCAACGAAAATCCACGCAATCTTCGCTTGATAGCGAGTGTTTTTTCTCCCGTAGAAAGCGCATGGACAGAGGAAAGCATTTTCTCTAAATATGCTACTCAACAGTCGCGAAACATACGTCTCGAGGCGAATCGAAGATATTACGTGGAAGCATTGCATAAACAAGGTTCTGGTAATGGCAGAATTCAAGTTAACTGGAGGAAACCTGGGTCCATAAAACTCGAACCTGTAACGGGAGAATATTTGAGCGCGTATTTTGACGATAGCAGGCGAAACGGAAGTTTTCGTGACCTTGTCAAAGGCCACGAGAAACTCCAATGGTTTCCAAGTCATGTTAAGCAGAGAGTTTTCAAAGGGTTGAATCTAAAGAGTCAGTTTAATTACACGTCCCTTTCTTTGATCAATCGCAGTGAGGTTAAAGGAGTTTTAAATCCTTGTTCATACAAACCGAGCTACATTATCGAAAGAAACCTTTCTCGTTACGAAGGTGTTAACTTGGTGCACGATTCGTTGATATTCCCGTTCGACAACACCTATCTTCATCAAGCGCGAGTACCGTGGTCGGCAGGAAATAAAGAAGTTGATAATGTAACTGTTAGCAAAATTGTTGGGAAATTTATGAACAGTTTACATAAGTTTCATCGGTAGGTGTGATCAATAATGCTTGGTTTAGGATTTATTTGCATTTCGCGCTTCGGTTCCTGTTTCTTTGTTCCCTCCCAAATAAGGAGCCTCCCTAAGTGGACGGGGAAAACGACTGTTTCTCGAACTTTAATAGAAAATTATTGGAGTTGGAAGAAGAATTACGGCCATATTTTCAGAAAGGAAAGTGAACAACGGTTCCTTTCTTGTGTGCCGGAATGTGTGAGTGAAAGGTCCTTGCATTTGGCACGTCATTGTGGCTAATGAGATGTAAATTTACGTTCGCCTTTGCTGTAGTTTTGACTCTTGATGTGACTTATCATCTAGGGCTAATTTTTCTATTCAGCGTTAAAAAAGGATTGAGTGAAATTTGTTTTCGGCGTGAATACTTACACGCTTCATTTCTCTCTTCGCCTCATGTATTATAGACAAGGACCGCGTGGCTTTGCTTACAACTTGAGAAATGATGAATAATTAAACATTTTAAAAATAAGCGCAATCTAAATCTCTATTTACAGAGCTGGTGAATTCTTCCACGCCTTTACAATTGCAATGGAAAATGTTAATTCCAACACTGTAATCTCATGTAATTGTGTAGTTTGATTGTCTGGGTGAGTGTAGTCCTGAGAAGGACTGTGGTCAGTAGTGGTGACTGACAACCCGAGCAAACTCTTTTATTGTCTGAATAGATGTAGAAAGAACTGTTCATTGCTGTTCATTTTTTTGTTTTCTTTGCATTTACACAAAAGAACAAACAGTAAGTCATGTCACACAACTTTTGCACCACTTATCACCAACTCTCAGATTTCTCAAACTATGTGACTGAGACATGGTTGAATTTTTTTTTGACAAGGCCTTCACCAGTCACAGCTTTCCAAGGTGTTCTGTTGTGAATCAAACCCAACTTCACTTTGCTAGATCCTTTTTATTCTTAAGCTGCCTTGCTAAGTCTATGTTCAATTTCCTGGACAGGACTGGCACCCAGTACAGCCTTCCATAGTGTTCCATTGTGAATCAAACCTAACTGATTAGACCTCTGCCTTAAGTTAATTTTGAGATAATCTAATTCTTTACCTTGTGTGTGGATGAAAACCCAGTAATAAGTTCAGTAGTTTGTTTTTTATCACTGCTATGGCTGGAACATAACCTTAATAAGATGAACTCCTTATTGATTTTGTTCCCTTCTTTCCTGGCAGGAAGTACTATTTACAGAGAATCCTGAATGTTGAACAGAACCCTGACCCTAAGCTGGGAAGTCGTTTCCTCCTTGAGCTTGAATTGGGTGTTAATGGATCAAGTGAAAGCTTCCGTCTCTCTGAATATGTGTATCTTCCTCTAGAGAAAGAGGAGCTTTGTTTCCCTGAAGGTGTAGAGTGGGATAACAATGCTACAGTGTACTTTATTCTGCCTGTTAAAAACCAGGGCATGTGGGTTCATCACTTTGCTTCTCAACTTGCAGCCATGTCAAATCAGAGTGGCGATTTCAACTTTCACATTATTATTGTGGATTTTTCAAGTGATGACATTGATCTTGATGAAGTGTTTAGCATGTGGCCATTAAAAAACCGGTATACCGTGATCAAGTTGACTGGGCCATTTCACAAGACATTAGGATTACAGAAGGCTGTCAGTGTTGTACCAAAGGAGGATGATATTGTCTTTCTTTTTGATCTTCATATTGATGTTCCTTTTGGTCTTATGGATAGTGTAAGAAAGGTGAGAAAGAGTCAACCATGAAGAATCTTAAGGTGCTTTCCTTTATTTTTGTGACCTTAAATATGTAATTTAGGGGTGTTTTTTTAGGGAGAAATTAGATACTAGTCACTTATAGCTTTGATTAATTTGTCTTCTTATGCTTTTGTGGGACACTTGTGGATACTTGACAGTGTTACTTTGTAACTTATGTGTTCGGGACATATAGAGATTATTTTGTTCAAAGTATTATCCCAGAAACAAGATAGCAGTCAATTGAAGACTCTTTTGCCTTTAAGAATGGTCACAGTCACTGTCACAAAATGAGTTGGGGCAACTTTGGCTTGGCTAGAAAAAGTAAACAAAATTGATGCAGTGTGTCAAAGAGACTCTTGTAACAGCTTGTCTCTGTTAAGTAACAACCTAAATGGCTCCCATGATTGATTCTGGATCTAAAGGTCTGGGTTGGTGTTAAAATAAAAATTTTGTACAGGTCTCCACATTTGAAATCATTAGCTAGTGGCTTGAGGCTCAGAAAAGTACTAGGTAGCTTGTGAAACATCAGTGCATAGGACATGTTGAACCATCAAATTGTACTGAGAAATTCTGTGGTGATTATTGGTTAAATCACTCAAAAATCATTTGCTCTTATTTTGTTGCATATACAGCACACAATATTTGGCAAGGTGGCATATGCACCTACTGTGGGCAGACTAGATTGTGGAGCATTTCCAAGTGATCCTTATGGTTTTTGGCAGGTGAATGGTTATGGAATTTTAAGTGTTTTCAAAAAGGACTGGGACAGATTTGGAGGTAAGTGCCATGAGTTTTTACTCTGAAGTCCTTCTGCATTTTAACTTTAAGTAACTGAGCAAGGACAATGGAGAAGGACTGAGTAAAGGTTTTAATATATTTTACAAACAACTCCTTAAGAAATACATGCATAATTCTCTAGGATGGGAGTTATGTTTAAGATCTTGAGATCAGTGGGCAAAGATGCAGGGGTAAGATTTTTCAAGTTGAGGTCACAGATGAATTTATGAGCCTCACAAGAAATGCATGCATAATTATCTTGTACCAGAATTAGGTTTAACCCTTTAACTCAGAAGATCTTACTGTTAATTCTCCCCTCTAGCTGCTACACATTTCCTTGTAAATCAGCAACAAGAATTTGGTGTTAGATCAGGATAATGACTTTTACCCGATAAGTTTGAGTATTCTCATTACCTGTTTGCTGGCTATATGCATGGATATTTTAGTTTAGGGAGAAGTTTCATGTTGATCACTTCTGGGAGTTACAGGGTTAAGATCTTGAGATCAGTAGGCAAAGATACAGGGGTAGGATTTTTCAAATAGAGGTCACAGATGAATTTCCACAAGCCTTACACACAAGAAAGAGTTAGGTTTTCAGGGGAAGGGGCAAAGGATGTTTTTTTTTTTTTAAATTCCAGATATCTTCTGATGGTCAGCAGTTTGAGTCCATGATCTCCTTTCCCCCTCCAAGGGCCATGAAGAGATTAACCAGTGACTTCTCCCTATAATATCCCTACATTATCCAGCAAATGTGTAATAAGAATACTCAAACTTATCAGGTAGAAGCTGTTATCTTGGTCTAATGTTAAATTTTCTCAACTAATTTACAAGGACATGTAGTAACTAGAAGGGAGAATTAAAAATCAGATTTTGGGAGTTAAATGGTTAAATGTGCTTTCTTTTTTCCTATACAGGTATGAATGTTCGAGATTTTACCACAAAATGGGGTGGCGAGGATTGGGATCTCATTGACAGAGTACTTTCTGCACAGCTGGAAATTGAAAGACTAAAACAGCCGGGATTGTTTCATTACTACCACTCTCACAAGGGAATGTGGAATACATAGGTTCTATAGATAACGTAGAAGATTTTAAATAAATTGCAGATGTATTTGGGAAAGGTAGTTGCTAGGTAGTTGTCTGAAAAATGACTTGAAATGATCTTGAGTGATTTCTAAAATGACCTAAAATGACCTTGAGTGATTCCCAAAATGACCTAAAATGACCTTGAGTTATTTCCAAAATGACCTAAAATAGCCTTAATTGATGTCTAATATGAAATAAGCTGAAATGACCTGAAATGACCTTGAGTGATTTCTAACCCTAACCCTACAGTGACTAAAATGACATAAATTACATTTAAACTTTACTGGAACAATTTAAAATAGCAATTGCCAGCTAAATATAACAGAGCAACAAAACTGAATGTGTGAGCTGAGTGCTTACCTGTGAAAATGAGGATGTACATGTTCACTCAATGTGAACCATGGCTGTATAGAAATTGTGTCCATCACTAAATTTTGGCTCAATATAGCTTAGTTAGGATGGCTTTTAAATGCTTTCAGTCTCAGATCTTGTTAGTAATTCTCCATACTATCTGCCATATCATTGTTATGATGTTAGTTTGGGGAATTTGTAATTAGATCGACTTAAATAATCCCTCAGTTGATATTTATCTTTCTTCTTTCTACTTCTCTGCTTGATGTCGTTTTGATATTATGTTGTGTGAAGAAATTTTGTGTTGGTTACTCATGAGAGTTAAAGGGATGACCTTTATTTTACGAACTTGAAAATCCAGTGTATGATACTGCCGAATTTTTCCAGAGAAAGAAGAATCAAAATTTATTGATATTATTTATTCTATAATTTAACAATTTAAGATTTAATGATTTAATTTAGAATATTTTTTATGTAAAAAGAAAAGTTGTTTTTATTTATCAATAAAGGTTTTTTATGCAGGAGTACCAAGCTTTTCTCTGTCAATTAAAAACTGTGCCCCTTGTTAAAGCTGTGATTTATGTGGGACTGTGACTGCAGTGGGTAACCACCAAATTTTAATTGAAAAATGTTACATAGACGACTGCATGAATAATTTTTCGAGGAACTTTCCCGTTACTCGTTTGTTCGTTTGTTTGTTTTTAAAGAACTGCACCCCCCTCCCCCACGAATTTTGATAGTGTGACACTCGCACGCTAGCTAATTAGGAATGTAATCTCGTTCCCAGGACCTTGCAGGGTTACAAGAATAAATTCTCTTCCTGCACGAAAGTTTTCCAAGATTCTGCTTAACTACTTGGAGCTAGTCTCCTTTAGGCGGCTTTCTTCAAATATGATTTCCATAGTTGCAATTTTCTTGTGGACAACATCAGTCACCATATGTGCCGCCATTATTATTTTCGTCGGATTGGTAATCTACCTGCTCTATGTCCACGCGAAGTACGACCATTTGCCCGGACCCAAAAGAGGTGGCTTCTTCATGGGTAACATGGCGTTAGTCTACGAAAAGAGAACCAAATTGAACTTAACGATCCACCAGATTTGGGCGGAGCTTGCCTTGCAGCACTCCCCGATGTTTGTGTTTTGGTTTTTCCATCGTCCAGTCGTTATTGTGACGGACGCGCAGCTTGTAAAGGAAGTATTAATTACGAAAAATCTGCCGAGGGACAAGTTCGGATACAGCCATCTCGCCTCGCTGTTTGGTGAGAGAATGCTCGGACAAGGACTTCTTTCCGAAGTTTCCGAGGAGGAGTGGCGCTGGAAGAGAGCCACATTGGATCCAGGGTTTTACCGTCCGAGTATAGTGGGGATGATAGACAATTTTAATACGACATGCGACTCCTTCTTACAAAGATTAGAGAGCCTTGCTGATGGCAAGGCGGAAGTTTCTATGGCTGAAGAACTTGTTAGGATAAACTTGGACTTGATAGCAAAGGTATTTTCAAATTCCTAACCACTCTAGTTACTATCCTTGCCCTTTCCAGTCTTTTCTTACCTAGATCTATTGTGACCCTCACGAAAAGATTTAGTGGAATTTGGGAATAAGGAGGAATTCCTCTTCAATCACACCTGGCAGTGAAAGGGATATGTGTGATTGTTGGAAAAAAAGTGATTGCATTCGGAATATAGTGATTCCTCTTTTCTTGAAGGTGGAGAAACCAAATGATGAATTCAGCATTTTCTTGAATAAGTACCCATGCTTTAATAAGCCCCCTCCCTCCCCCAGATTAGTGCCCAATCCCTTGGCTATTATGTCAAACAAGCACCCCTCTTGAATAAGTACCTCTCCTCCTGTCCTCCCTCACTTTCTTGAATGGTTGGGATAGGAAAAAATACCCGTTACTGTTGCCACCCTATATATAACTTTTTTGGATCAATATCAGTTTGTGGGCAACTGCCCACCTACCCCTCCCCTAACCCAACAACAGTCAATTGATAACAAGCTAGTAACCCTAGTAACCCTAGCTTGTTATCAATTGACTGTTGTTGGGTTAGGGGAGGGGTAGGTGGGCAGTTGCCCAGATACTGATATTGATCCACTTTTTTAATTACATCAGAATTAGTGCACTTTCAGGTTGATAGTTTCCTAATAAGTGCCCCCTTGATTTAGCACCTTCCTTCCCATAAGCTCCCTGCTTTTTTAAGCTGATGTATTAAATATGGAATGTCATAAGAATGTCTTATTGATTGGTAACTGGATTACAATTTGAATAGATTACTTTAAGTGCATTTGTCTCATATACCTCTTTGAGGGAGTGTCCTTAGATAAACATTTAGAAGGGGTAACTTGCAAAAACAATCAGCAAAAGTAATTATTAAGTATGTATAATAGACTTGTGATCAAGTCCTACTTTTTGCCTTTTGAAAATGTGGATTTAATTTCAATTGCATTTTTTGATCACCTATCAACCATTTCTTATTTGGATACTCATGAGTTATTAGTTATTTCTCATCCAAGTGTCTTGGTAGGTTGCCTTTGACCTGGATTTGAACTCAACAAGTAATCCTGATACCCCTATACCTATCAACATTAGAATAGCTCTGGAGGGTCTCATTCAAAGTTTCAGAAAGCCTTTCATGCGGTTCCAGCCCTCCACTTTTGGTTACCAAGCTAAATGCAGAGAGGCTGTACGTTTTGTGAGAGGTGTGGCCAAGGAAGTGATTGAGAAAAGATGGAAGGCAAAAGAGAGAGGAGAAGATCAGCATAATGATCTCTTGTCACACATTCTTCTGTTACCCGAGAGAGACAGGCGCACCACAATGAATGACATGGTAGATCATTTCATGTCATTTGTAGTTGGTGGTAAGTTAGGATTGTCATATAGTCTCACCAGTAGCATAAACCACTTTATCCTTTAACACCCAGAAGTGATTAACATCTAATTTCTCCCTGCAATATCTATATATTATCCAGCAAACAGGTAATGAGAATACTCAAACAAATCAAGTGGAAGTTGTTGTCTTGATCTAACACCAAATTCTTGTAACCAATTTAAAAGGAAATATGTAGTAGCTGGAGGGAAGAATTGACTATCAGATCTTGGGAGTTAAAGGGTTAACCCTTCAACCGGTGAGAGTGATAAGCATCTAATTACTCCCAAAAGTGTCACCCCTGAATCCAACATCTAGGTCTTGAGATTAAAGGAAATGATCATGAGGTCAATAACTACTTGATTATTAAGCAAATTCTCCTTGTAAATACAGAGGGAAATGTATAAAGAACAGTACGGAGAACTTACAAACTGAAGTCAGGATGTAAAAGCTGGTTAAGCTGTAGACTCATGAAGTGGGTAATGGGGAAAGCAGAATACTGACAATTTAATTTTGTGTGCCTCTTAATGTTGATCTGAAGTTCCTTAGTTGTTCTTGTTTGGTGTGTTGCTCAGTGTTTAACATTAGGAAAAAAAAATTTTCAGGGTTATCAACCTTAATTTCACCAGTGCCCATTAAGCTCTGACCCTTTTCACCTTAACTGCTACCAGTTCTCTTCCATTCCTCTTCCAACCCTTCTTTCATCTGTTTTGAAGCTTAAAATTATGTCAAAGATGTTTATTAAGATACCTTTGGGGCCAAATTTTCACCAGAGAAGGTCCAAGAAGTTTGGCTGAACAGCATTGAGAGAACAAACCTTCAGTGAAAGTTATGAAAGACCAAAAGTTCTTATTGGCTAAATTTAATATCTCATGTCACCAAAAATTACATCCTCGTTCCCAGGGCCTTTTTTTAATCAGGTTGTTATAGTCACCCCTCCTAATAGCGAGAGATATTGGGCAGGAAGTAGAGAGACCCGGAGATCCAGGACCTCCTCGCGCGAGTGAATCCGCGCGGGAACTCTGCAATTCGTCGCTTTCCATTCGAGCGCCTGCGTTTTGGCTAGACTTCACTGCTACACCTAATCTTTCTTTAAGATCGATTAAATCTTGTGTAATTGAAATTATTTTTCAGGAGAGGAGACCATCTCGAACCATTTAACGTTTCTTCTTGCGGCAATAACTTCTCATCCTGAGGTGGAGGAAAGGTTTGTTACATCTCTCAATTGCAGATGTCTTAATCTCAAATAGAACGTCATACTCTACTCTTTAATTGTATAACTTATTTCCACGAGTATTTTACATATCTGAGAACGGAATTGCGGTAATTTTCTAAGGTGGGTAAAGCATGGGTGAAGGAGTCCGTGATTTTCATAGATTTGTCTTTTTTTCTTAGAATTGTGGCCGAAATTGATGAGGTCCTTGGCAGTCGTTGTTCCGTGCGCTACGAAGACCTCGCAAGGCTCAAGTACCTGGAACAGACAATCAAGGAAGCTCTGCGCCTGCATCCTCCAGAACCAGCAATCACGCGCATGGCAAACGAAAGCATGATCATGGGCGGCTTCCACATTCCCGCCAAAACGAGCATCATGGTGAACGCTTATGTTCTTCATCACCATAGTAACTACTGGGACAACCCGGAGGAATTCGACCCAGAGCGCTTTGCGACGTGTAATCTTGAGAATGTAGAGCACTATGCGTACATTCCTTTCTCTCTCGGCCGTCATACGTGTATCGGCATACATTTTGCTCACATTGAGACCAAACTGTTAATTGCCCGTTTGCTTCAAACATTCAAATTCAATCTTGTTCCAGGTCAAGACCTCAAACAAATAGAACACATGACCTTGAGCCCAAAGAATGGGGTGAGGTGCAAGCTGTCCCTCAGGTGAACGCTGCCTTCTTCAGCATTTTATCTAAAGTTTGACCTAGTCGGAAAGGAAACCTTCACTGGTGGAACAAAATGTCGCTAAACGGCGCTTGGTTAGCTCGTGTTGTAGAGCGTTGGACTACCGCACCAACACGCTCAGGGCTTTTCCTATAGCGTCCACAAATGGTCAGATAATCTAGTCTTCTCAGATAAGGACGATAAACCGTAGGTCCCATCTCCTGCATTTTCTCTGTTCTGGTTAGCAGGGGACGTTAAAGAACCCACGCACTTCTCGCAAAGGGTAGGGAACCTAGCTCCTGGTGGTGTGGTTTGGCCTTCTTATTGTAAATGCAGGCCCTCCTTTAATTTAGCTTTCAAGCTGAACTGGGCCAGCTAGGCCTGTGTAAATTTAAATAAATTACATACTTTTTTTAAAGTTAAAATTTGGCATAAGTGGGAATGGAATTGTTAGTGGTCTTAGTGTGGAAAAATAAATACAAAGAAACAGCTACTCGCTGTTTTGAACTGGAATTTGGAGTTCACCATCTCATTGGATTATATGACCATTTACTTTGCCACAATCCCCCTTTCGACTCCATCTAACCAAGAGAGCTCTTACTGTATTAGTTATTGAATGCGGAATTTTTCTGAAAGATAGGAATTCATTTCCTCTAATTATATGGGTGTTACTGACCAAACTTCCTCAGTATTGAGCGCCCAAAATTTTCCTAGTTCTCTGCAATACACTGTGATCCCTTCTTGCTCAGTGAGGCTTTC